TCCAGTATGTTCTTCAGCTCTTCCTCATTCAGGTTGAAGTCACAGAAATCTCTCTGACACTGAAGATGTTCCTGATCAAGGAGTCAATTTGAATTCTAAAACATCTGTAATAAGTATCATTTTTATCATGCGGTTTCAGTCACTTGGATAACACCATGATAAATTTAGAGGTGCTGTATTTTTCAGTCTGGCCACAGAATTATGGAGCTCTTGTGACATATCCTGTGAGAAGTCAGTTTTATCAAAGCAAATGTTGTGGTAGAATTGGACTGCCCTTCTTGCTCTGCCCCCACTCCCAGCATATTCTTCTTGTGTTCTGGTAGATCAAAGTTTTATAGTGTGTTTGTGCTAAATATTAATTAGGTTGTATGCAGCATGGCTTCCATTGGGAAAGCTTCCATTTAAAGACATTCTCCTCTTTATCAAGTAGTAGGAAAGAATGTACTGGTTTTCCAAAGTTGAAAGCATATTCATTCCTGAAGTATTATAGTGCATTACGTATATGTGCATGATTATGGTGTGTATCTGCATACATTTGAAAAACTCTTCATCCGTGTTTGTGACTTGGGAAACAGTTGTGTGAAAGCATAAAATACAATTGGTTCTATAGGTCTTCACAGCTATATTGATTGGTTTTGCAGGAATAATAGAAAATAGTCAAAGCTGCTGAAAATGTGAGTAGGACAAGTAAAAAGTTGCACAAGATGCTACAGCTCTTATATAATTGTACCTCTGTGTACTTGACTGATAGTGTTCTGCTTTGAGCAATGAAGGGAAAAGTCTAATAAAATGTTAACTTATGTCTTAGGCACTTTATGATTTTGCTAAAGTGCAGCTGAAGTTTCTAAGATACAAAAAGTGAAAACCATGATTGATTTGGACTGTCTGGTTTAGCTTGAAATTCAAGCTCAGTGTTTTGGTATTTTTTACACTGTTATCAGTTAAAAATAGCTTTAAAGCTAATAATTTTGCTGTCATTCTGACTTTCAGATTTCATTTTAAGCTATTGTTTTTGAACAATGGTTACTCACAGATTCTCAGGAGCATGTATGAGAATGTTGACCTTTTAAATTCTAGAAAAAAAATTATTGAACTGAAAAACTGATAGTGCACTTTTGTATTTCCTGGTCAGATATCTGAATTTACTGGCATTTAGGGCTGATACTTCTGAAAATGAAAAGGCTCTGCTGAGATAATATGATGGGAGATGGATGTGCACTACAACTTCTGTTAAATTTTGTGATTTACTGAAATGAAAGTGTACCTTTTAGATGTTTATTATGATCTCAAAATGTGTTTTTCCCAATTATTAGTAATCTGTTAAAAATATACACTGTATTTCAGTTCATATTTATTTTCAACTTCTAGCCTTTCTTGGGCATGAAGTTTTTGTGCTACTAAATATTTTTTTTTTACAGTAGTTGCTTGTTGAACACATCACTTTTAGTCTCTGATTTGGTGTGTTTTGGTCATGTTTCTACCCCATCTATTTCTTGAATTTTTCAGCGTTTCTGACTCTGAAATTAATATTTAAATATGTGCGTTGAGATAACAATAGTCTTAAATCAGTCTTCTCTTACTGCATGTATAATATTGTATACTTGCATGTGTAAGGTCAAAGTAGCTCTTGAATTCCTTTACATGTACACTTGGAAGAAGGAAAAAAATCATGCATGTGTTAATCAGTCATGCTGAAACTTGATACTAAGCTTACTTGCCAATGGAAGTGAATTCTTAGTTGTGAGAGTCTTAACTAGGCAACAATGTGTCTTGATAATAATTCAATACACTCCTGGCTATATCTGAGAGCGTCACACAAGCTGAGATGGGATGGCTGTGCCTCTCACTGTGATGCCTGGTGAGTGGTGTGAAGCTCAGTGGTGCTCACATCTCTGTATTTGTTTTGTATTATCTGAGCTACTTGAGGTAGAGACCAAAGAAATGGCAACCAATGCAACTGAGTTGCTTTGTGATTTGGAACAAGTAGTTGTGAAGCTGTCTAATTGTTCAAATGAAAGTGTTGTGTAACAGATAAGATAGTTTTAAGGCTTTGAATATCTTGCTTGTTCTTTTCTTAGCCAAGCAAGCTTGCCCTGATAATGATGCTGAGTTTTAAATAACTTTCTTCCAAAAAGAGGGGTGTGGGTTTTTTTGTCATCTTGGTGCATATCTGTCTTTGAAAATGTGGATTGTAGGTGAATGAAAAAATCCTCCTAGTACCATGTTACAGTACTTGGTGGTTGAACAGAATCATCAGCTGGGTGCTTCCTAGTACTTCCTTTCACTGCTGCTACAAACCTTCAGAAGGAAAAGCAATTCACTGAGAAGAATTTACTTTTGAAATAAACAAAACTTCATGGTGATTAGTTAGTTGTCTGAATAAGTTGTGAGCAGGCTTATTATTTACACCTTGTTATCCTGAGCTGCTTTTCAGTGCATTGCAGCATACCTGTGAGTTGCCAAAGAGCTGGTAGTGTACACTGTCACCCACTCTTTCACTGCATGTCCAAGATAATTGGGCTGGACTGAATTGGTTACCTATGTGTTTACAGTCAATAGTGCTGCTATGTATTTTGAAGAATATGATATTTCTAAGATGTGTAAATTCCAAGTGTTATATTTCTAGAGGAAGAGAAATGGAAAGCAATTTGATTACTGTAGAATTAGATTAATTAGATTGGTATAAAGTTCTCAACTGATCATTGGCGAAAGTGCTGCAGTGTAGTTAAAAACACTGGTAAGAATCTGGAATTTAATTTTGTGACATTTACAAAAATGTCTGAGTTTTGAGAGCTTCTATAAATAAGAGGATTTTTTTTTAGGAATACTTGACTTACTCCTGGTTTTGTGTGCCTTCATAAAGCAAAGGTGGGGAGCATGGTCAGAAGAGTCCGTGGTGTTCTTTAAAAATTTAAGACATGGAAATTTTTAGTCAAAAATAGTAGATCTCAGTAATGGGCATTTTAACTGAAAATATTCCTGATACATTCTATTTCTGAGTATGAGTTGATTCTTAATACGTTGGTGATCATCCTTTTTACAGGTAAAATGCTTGTGAAATTATAAAAATCAGACTGAGGATGAAGACATTTCTCTCAGATGTGTTTCTTGGGGGAGCTCAAGTTTAGAAACTCTTGTTTCTTCCCTTATGATTTTATAATCATTCTAAGACCAAACTGGTTAAATTTAAGGCTTAAACTTTAGATGGGTAAAATTGAGAAAAAGTATAGTTGAGAAATTAAAAAGTTCTTAAAGATAATGAGGAATATCCAGATAATAGGGGTTGTCAGAGACTAAATTTTTAATACTTAATTTCAAATAGCACCACAATACACAGAGCATTCCTTATGACATCCTATATAAAAGTCTTACAGTTTTTATTAAATGTCATTTAATTTTTACACATTTATTAGCAATATGATTAAAGTATTTTTATGTTCTGTACTTGTGAGAACAATGTTCTTTTCCTCTAGTTAGAAATCCGTTCAGTCGTATTTCAGTGCAATGTAATTAGCTTCCAGCTGATGTTTTGCAGTTGTGGTAAACTATTAGTTGGCAAAATAACATACCATAACTGTTTTAAGAATTAAATAAGGCTAAAAATTCTTACTAAATTATTTTAATTAAATTGAGTTGGTTTTGAGAGTCCTTAAATTCTTTTAAGTAATTGTTTAAATTGGCTTATGAACTAGCTTAGCTTTCATAGGAGAGGTTGATTGTCTTGTTTTGATTTTATTTTTTCATAATTTTTGTAGTAATGGCATGCTATTTTAAAAGAAATTAAGATTTTTCACTAAGGTTTGAAAAAATATTGAGCAAATAACTTGATTTTTTGTTGGCATACAATAAACTGATCACTGTAAATGTGGTCTTGCCACAATAGTCAAACTGCATACCTCTCACCAAATATATTTCAAATTGTTTGGTAATATTTCTATTCTAAGCACACAATCAGTAGGTGATCCTTTATATTTAACGGGTTCTAAAAAAATGGATTTTCAAGGCCTTTTTCTTAAGACCTGTTAGCTCTCTCCTAATATTTTTAGAGCCAGTTGTAAGCATTCATGAGCTAGTTTGTCTTTATAAGCAGAACAAGGCTGTGGGTGTAGTTATATTTTTCTTTGTTTTCTGAAGAAGGAAAACAAGGCTTTGATCTTGGCAAGAGAAGAAGAGTAGGACTAACTAAACAAAAATATTATGGTGGCTTTTATTCAGTCCATTTTTAACCCTAGGTAGAGTGGAATGTGCTACCTGGTCTTGGAGTTGATATGTGCATGGATTACTTTGGAATTCTCTTTTTCAGGAGGGACAGAAAGCTCCTAGAATACTGGCAGTAAGAAAAGGAAGTGCCAGTAACTGACCAAGTCTTTTTGTTACAGCTGGGCTAGTTGCATGTCATGGGATCATAAAATGTCTTGTCCTGTATGTGTTTGTCTTACATGATTTGGAAAGTTTATCTGTTTTTTAAGTATTTGTTTCTGAAGTAAATTTTGCGTGTTTGATTAAACCACTGTAATGAAAATGTAACTGGTGCTGTTTATGTCACTGTTAATACATAGAGTATTCGTTCTTAACCCCGGGTCATGATCCCAGGATACTATGCTAATGCTTTACTTGGACACACAATAATTAAATCACACAAAATCAACCCTGCAATAGGGGGAATCAAAAGTATATGTTTTGAGGGGGTGGTTGCTTCTCCTAACAGCTGCGAGTTTGTCAGAATACTACAGTGCACATTATTTGTGAAGTGCTGTGTTACCCACTTTTGCTGTGGTTTTGTATACATTTATTACATACAGATATGTTAAGTGTCTAACTTTTCATGGCCTAACTGTAAAAAGACTCAGAAGTCCATTGCACTGTACTATGTAGTATGTGAGAATAAATACCTCAGGCTTCATTGTTTTGTTACTGGGTATCAGTGGCATTTAATGACTGAACACAACGTTATGAATTTGTTACACCATTTTAAGTGAAACTGCTTTTTTTCCCCTTAGGGACGAAACCCTTTTTTTCTGGAGCCAGCAATAATTATTACAGTTACTGATGGAAGTAAATTAACCACTACCAGTGGGATACAGGAAGAGGTAAGGTCTGACCTCTGTTTACAGCAATGTGTACTAAACATGGTGTTACAATACTGTTTACAGTAGGAGCATAAGTGCTCATTAATAGCTTAAACTTGCATGAGTTTTGCTTTTAATTTAAAGTATTTTTATGGAGCAGTACTACAAAAAGCTGAGTAACTTCTTACTTACATCATGTGACAGAAGTGTGTGATACAACTGTTTAGTTGTATCTGTTTAGTAAACTGAGTTTGCTTTTTCTATCCAGGGAGTTCATGGCTTTTCAGATGTTGTTAGCAGGAGAAATTGATTTCTATAAAGTGTGTGTGTCTTTAACTGGTCTAGATATTAGTTCTTTTTGTATAGACCCAAGTTAACAAAGTGATTTTCCAAAGGATGTGGTCACTAGAGAGTGTGTGAAATGTACCACTTTCACACTGGATTCTTAAAAATAAGTATATAATGTATATAATCAAATCAATAGTCCTTATAGTCCAAGATAAGAGCTGAAGAAATGTATTTCAAATTAAATCTGTAGAGCAGTTTAAAATCAAGATCTTAATGTACTGGAGTACCCGCTCAGACATCTGGCAAACTCAGAGCTATACTGATGCACTGAACTATTTTTAAATTACTGGCTGTTTTGAATTCTTTCCTTAAAAAGATGGAAGTCACTAGGGATAGGGTTGGTCTGGCCAGCTCAATGCCCATTCCATGTAGTAGTAAAAAACCCCAACCAAATCAAACAACAACAAATCCCTAAGATCATTCCCTTTTCAGGGAAAAGATTAATATCGAAAGGTCTGTTTTAAAACTTAAGAGGAGGATTCAGACTTTTGCTTGTGCTACACCACATTTGACTATGCAGAGTAGCTTGTCATACATTGCTGTTCATTAGTTACTCAAATTTCTCCTAATAATCTGTTATATTGCATTCTTACAGCACTTACAGAAGTTGTCTGTATGAAAAGTGGTATTTGAGTGTTTTTTGTAATGTATCTGACTTAGAGGAAGAAAGTTGAATGACCTCATAATTCTATGTGGACTACTAACAAATGAGCATAGCCAGTAACTGAAAGGGAATTCCTGGATCCATGATAACAAGTAGGTTATATGTATAAAAACTTCACTTCCGTCATATTTTTTTACTCAATAAGCTATTTTCAGCTTAATCTGGAGATTGAATGGGTGCGGTCCAAAATACCAATAGAAGACACTGAAGTGTCACACTATTCTACAACATACAGTGGTGTTAGCAGCAGAGTACTATTTTGAGTAGTCTCTTAGCTATGTTTCTTGAGAAGCATCTTTGCTGCCAGATGACTAACTTGTAAAATCTGGCATGGACAGTCTGGAATTACAGACACCAAGGTGCACAGAGGGTGAAGCAAATGACATCTTGGTAGAGGCTGAGAACTGGGTTTGTTCAGCCTTTGGTAGAGAAGCCTGTAGTGTTTTATCACCATTTGCAACAACTTAATGGGGCAGGGAGCCTGGCTTTTCTTGGAGGTGCACAGGGGTGAAATGAGAGGCAGCAGCTGCAAATTGTACAAGAGGAATTCTGGTGGGATATCAAGAAACTTTAACTATGTGGGTGATTGAACACTGGCATAGGTTGTCCAGTGGTTGTGGAGATAGTAAAAGCTGAATTGGACAACGCCCTGAGCAGTCAAAAGTCTCTGGACTGTATAGCCTTATGTGCCTATTCTAATGCACACAGTGCTATGATTCTGTTACATTTCCTTTCATCTTCATTATCCAAAATGATTTAGATAAGAAAGCTGTATTGTTTGTCATAAGCTCTTTTACAGCAAGAGTCAGTATTTCTTTTTTATAGCCGGCAAGTGTTTTTTTTCCTACCTTTTCCTTTAAATGTGGGTGCAGCTTTCTTACCTTAGTTTTCACAGGAAGATATTTTCTTGGGCAACCATTTGGCCATACAGTCACATCTTTAAACTGTTGTAACTTATGTTGAGAAAAAGGGTTTTCTGGTGACTGCTCTAATCTAGTAAATTTAGGCTTGGCTCATGAGCAGTGCTGACTGGTAAGTGCGTGCTATGATTGTGACATTGGGTCAAATTTGACGCATAATTTGACAATTGTTCAGTTATGTTCTAGAAATGCAGAATCTACTTTAATGATAGTGAACTACTGATTTTTTTTTTTTTTGTAAATAAGCTGATGATAAGGCATTGTCTTCTGGAGGAGTGGGAAGTGACCATGGCTCTTACTTCCTGCAAGACAAAATACAAGTTTCTTTGAGTGCTTTTCCATATATATGTACTGGGTATGTGTTTCATACCCAGCAATGGAAGTGATTTTATTTTTTTTTTTTCTCTTTTGCCATAGATGTACTGGTAGGAACATTTTTAACAGTATCAAAGAGCAGAGGAACAAAGCATCAAAGGGTGCTTCTGTTCTTCAGGGCTCATTTTTGGCTTTTGTCAGTGTGTGTCCTATTGGTCAGAATTTTTCTTATTGTAACTTGTGTCCTTTACAGTTACCTCTCAAGTTGGGCTTGCAGAAATGAACAAGAATTAGTATGGTAACACCACCCTGGAGATAGAGAAGTTTGTTGCTGCTCTTTGGTTCAATAACAAAGCTTTTCAGTCACTTTCAAATGTCTGTTTTGTTCTTTGGGTTTGACTTTGGGAAGGCTTTTCAGAGTTGGAAGTGATTGTATCCCACTGGCTATGACAGGTGTTTTTACTTCTTAACATCGACTAAGGCAGTATATTTTTAATTCTTTTAAGTCGTGTACAAGAGAACCAACAGAATGTTGGGGTTTGGGGTTTTTTTTGGAAGCCTGTGAAGCCAGTATGGAACCTGGAGGCAGGTTTTCTCAAACCTTTGTTGTTCAGTTGAACATTTGCGTTCTTACCGGTAAAATCAGTTTATCACTATGGGAACACTGTCATTTGCCCTAGTGTGAAGCAGTCAAGCTTAAACCCTGTTTCAGAGCTCTTGCTGAATTCTTCAGATGTCCTGTTCCTTTGTAGATTTTAATATGGGTTTTGCAGATAAAGAGCCTTTCCTGTTCAGTGCTTTGTCTCTTCTGTGGAGTTCCTCAGGTTGAAGACTGAAATGATAGCCTGTGCAATTATCTCCACCTGCACAAGTTAGTAACACTTCCAGTTCTGTGCCTTCTGCCTGTGCTTTCTAATATGGTAGTGCTGAGGTACTAAAGAATGCCAGCATCAGGTCTACATTCAGCAAGACTTGTTGACCAGACTCTTCCCTAAACTCACTTGTCCCAGTCATAACTTGAGGAGGGGACAGGCTCATACTGTTGGCAAACCATCATTAATTAGTTGGTCTCATGGTATGGATTCCTCATGGAGTGGCTTTTGCTTCTTCTGATCCCTCAGATCTGGTCTTAGCCCTTTCTTCATCTTTCCTTTAACAAATGTTTAATTTCTTGAAGGGATTTCTCTTATTCCTCTTTATATTATGAAAAAAATCATACTTTTCTAGTTTTACGGCTGCTATGTTCCCTTGTCCTCCTTCTACATACCCTCTGTTTTAAGAGGAAGCATTAAACTCCTGTTTGCAAGACTGAAACTGGGTTATTGGCCTATTGATACATTCTGATGAATGATTATGCCAGCAAAAAGCATGAGCAGTGCTGCTTGGTTTCTATATGTTGCCATTTCTAAGATCATTCAGTTACAAGAGACTCTTACAGGAGGAATCATGATTTTCGTATGTCTTCATCCCTGAACTGTTTGGCATTGTCACATTGATCCTTCCCAGGGTCAGTCATCTTGCATCCCTGTTGTAACAACTGCAACAAGTGGCAAGGTCCTGCTTACTTTCAGGAATAATCTGGAACTGTAAATGATCCATTATGTTTTTAATCATTGGTTCTGCAAGAAGTGTGGCAAATACCATTAAATGTACATTCCCATTCTTTCTCATCCTTATTATTCCTGTTAGTAGCAGTTTTGGTGTTTGCAGCATTTGACACGGCTCTAAAGCTCTTGATACGTGCATTTTTGATGTGTAACCATAAGCTCAGTGAGCACTTGCTCATGGTTAATGCTGGCATTGGAACCGCGGAGTATATCCATGACATTGACATGGTATGTCAGTTGACCTCGGTGTCTCTTTGTGGTCTTAAGTTATCTCCTATGGAAGAACAATTTGTGGCTTTCTATCTATGTGTTACAACTGCATGGAAAAAGATGGGAAAACTTAATGTTGTTGATAACTAAGTAGAGTTTCTCAGTCTATCAAGAGCTGGTTTTCTTAGTTGGACTTTAGAATAGAGTTACCCATCCTTAAGTCCTCTAAGGTTGAAATGCTCCATTTGCTTGGAATATTAGATGTGTCTTATCTTTCTGTGGGTAGCAAAAAAGCATGCAAGGAAGGTTACTTGAAGGTAGATTATTTTTTAAGGAATTTCTTTTTAGAGGCAAAAAGAAAAGGTGACTGTCTCTGTATGGATATTTTTATTCAGTGCCCGATGTGTAACAACCTTTTATGAGATTTCCCAAGATGGAGCTGCCTGTAATTATCTGGGTACTAAAGCTTAAGCAGTGCTGGTGCTGCTCTATTCTAATGTACAAGCCGGTATGTGCAGCCTCTGCCAGAAGATCATTACTGTGTTCAGTTCAACAACTGCCATGCCAGTGCGGAATGCTCTAATGCTTATTGTGTCTTTTTTCAACCTAGGGTCTCTAGGATACTTTTTTAATTTTTTTTAGGTTTTGAGACTGTGCTGCTGCTTATGATTGCATGAATGTAGGTAGAAATAAGGACTGAGAATAAACAAAAGACCTGCTCATCAGTAATAGTGTTCTATAAGATCTCTTTGGTACAATGCTGTCCTCCACCCCCTCTTGGTTCTTGAGTATATAGTGATTTTAAAAGCAAGGAAGAGGGGAATAAATACATAAATACAATATCTTATTGTATCATTGTGGCATTTGGGCATGGTGGTAGGGTTTGTGTGTGCTCCTACAAACTAGTATTGAGACAAAACAGCTGGTTTCTAGTACTAAGCTGGGAGAACACTTGTGTGTGATGTACATAGACAACATGTTGAAGACCATTGCTGGCAAATAACCTCCCTTTTAATAGTTCAGTCTACCTTTTTCTCAACAACCAGTATGAAAGACAAAGAGGAAAATATGTGCATGCCTTCGTATTGAAATATGCGTGGGGAAAGAAAGGAAATGCAAGATATAGAATTCTAGGCTCATCTTCTGCTAGGTATGCAGTTGCTGTGGTAATACAATACCAGTTTAAAAGAAAAGCTAACTGGAGGTGAAAAGACCGAGTTACTGACGTCTATGGAGAATGAGTTGGTTTGAATCTGTAACTTTGCTAGTATAAAAGTTTAAATAAAGGATGCTAAACTAAACTGGAATTAAATTGTGGGAAAGTGAGGGCATTTGTCTTGATATTGATTGCTTTGCATGGTGTCTTCGAGTTTGAAAATATTTCTCATAGTAATATGTATGTAATGTAATGGCCTGCTCCTGAGTACTGTTTGGTTTTGGGATTATTTCCGTATAACCAGCTGAGCCAAAGAAAGCTTTTGTAGCTTGAGAGAAACTGAACTCAGGATGGTGTTGGTGCAGAGTCCAATGGGATACTTCACATATATATAGTAAAAAATGTGTATATACTGCCTAAAGAAAAACAATGATGTTACATAGGTATGTTTTGCAGATCAAGTATACTCTTAGGAGCTGGTAAATCTTCCATTTAGTCAGATGTAAGTAGGAAAATTTGAATGGCATTCCTTAATAGCCACAGGTGAGGACGGTTGAGTGTTTGCAATTGAGTCTTCTTACAGTCAGGATTCCAGGCTGTTTGCTAAGAATGCGGCAATTCTTGTAACTGAGTTTCCTTTTCTCAGGCAGTCTTTGCTGTCCCTTTGTGTGAAAAGGGGAAAGACATGCATGTCAATCAGTAATAAACGAGGTAGATAGCTGAGTTCCCTTTGACCAGTTTCATGTGAAACATTTGGGGAAAATAGTTCTCACATGTACTCTGCTTGCATAAGCAAAAACAGAAATTCAGGAGGGATCATCAGGTGTGCTTAAAAGTCCAAAATATTGTGATTCTTGGCCACATGTTATGAGAGTGGATTTGTCATGTTTGTTCTAGCTTTGAGATTGTATCAATAAGTTGATTGTTTTTCAGACATGAAGACCTGTATTTTTCCCACTAAAAGATGCTTGCAATTATGTAAATAGAAATAGATGAGGTGGCTGGTGTGGAAATCAGATTTAATGCTTTTAAGCTATCTCTTAAAAATAAGCAGACAAGAAAAACTGCTTTAACAGTGTTCTGCAAATTCCCTAACTAACCACTATGATCTAAAAATGAAGGCAATATATAATGGGTGCTTATGTTGACTTGCATCAAATTCAGGAAAAGATTAGTACTTTCTTGCTAACATTGAGCTGAGATTGAGAACTGGGATTTTTTGAGTGCTGCATGAGAAGTGTTTGAGGAGACATGAGTTTGCTTTAGTATTTCGGCTTAACTCTTGTATTTGGTGCAGTAATGGAACTGTTTGCACCACTTGAGTCATTGCTTTGGGGATTTTTTTTTTTTCCTCCTTAATGGCTGCAGTGCTCCAAGTGAAGTGAGAATTTTGCTTGTGCTAACAGTGTTATCATCAGCCAGGGATCTATTGAATTTTCTGAACCTTGTAGCCGTTACAAATTTAGATTATCTGGTCAGGGCTTGTGTAGCTGAACCTGTGAGTAAGCCGTTTTTTCCCCACTAATATGTGTGAGGTATCCGGATTCAAGAAGAGAGGATAGAATCTTCTGAATGCCTTCTGCTGTCCCTTACAAGCTGACACACCTTGTTTCAGTTCACTAGGTATAAAACTGCTGCTATCCTTGAAATTTTAGATGTTCTGTTACTCTCTGGCTGTTGCTGTTACTGGTTAATGAATAATGCCCTGACCATTGCTGTATTTTTACTGCATCATGTTTGAAGTCTGATACTTGAATCTCTTTGCTTTAATTCACAGAAAAGACAGTAAAAGAAATGCTCCCATGTATTTAGTATCTTCAATATTTTGCACTAAAACTTTTGTGTAGTTTTTCCCAGACAGAGGCAACACAACGGCACATGGCAAGCAATTCTTCTTTGTATGGGTAGCTGTGGCTGCTGTTATCTATTACCTAAAAGTGAGAACTAATTTTGCATTTCAGTGTTGATTTTAATTTTAACACCCCCTTTTCCCTTAAAGCACAGACGTGAGTTTAGTTGTGGGATATACCTGAATCGTGTAGAATCTGCTTTCTGATTCTGTAACATAACAACGAAAATAGTTCACTTGAAGCTAAGTTATTTGGAGTAGGTAATTGTGGCATCTACACTCGAGCTATATTTCTTCTGGGGTAGTCTTAGATTAACATTACCTTTTCATTCAGTTGTGCTTATCTTGAAGAACTGAGGAAAATACTGAGCTGAGAATGGGGCCTGTTCCATAGGAAACTGAACAAAAGAACACTACAGTGAAGCAGCTTTTACTGCTGAAATTCTAAAGAAAATATTCTAGTAATTCTGAAGTTTGGATCAGTTTTTAACAGTGGTTGTTATACTTGATTTGTAACTCTCAACATTATGTATCATGATGCTTTGAAATGTTTGAAATCTTGATTAAATAATGGGTGTCTTGCTTGTCATGTACAGTACCTGAATAAAGTTATAAATGTGTGTGGAGATGTGTGCTTATATAGAGTGAATTGCCATTGCTATGTGACCTGAATTTTTGTTTCTTTCTAAAGCTGTGCATTCACAGATTTAAATTCCTTTGCAGCTCCATTTACCTCTCAATTCTCCTTTACCTGGAAGTGAGTTGACTAAGGAACCCTTTCGATGGGATCAGAGGTTGTTTGCTTTGGTTCTTCGTTTGCCTGGTATTACAGCACCAGAATCGGAGCAAATGACAGGGGTACCAGTGGATGACTCTGCAATCACACCTATGTGTGAAGTCACAGGAGGTGAGTGCTCTCGGTTCCTTTGACAAGTCATTACTTAAAAAATGTAAATCAGTTCAGTTTAGTTCAATTAATCTTGTGATTCTGTGTCATGGAATAACACTTTCCAAGTTCTTACAGCACTTCTGAAAACTCTCAAGACTCACAATATGAAGCTAAAAACACTGCATTAAAGCTACAGACAATGTAACCTGTCTAGGAAGTATGAATCTACTCTCTTTGGGAATTTTTTAGAAGAGAACTTGCTTTCTTTCTACTGCACCTTGGTATTGCAATTAGAGATTGTAATAATTGAGTCTGTTCTGCAGTACAGTTTAGCTAAATTTTTGTCATACTCTAACGTAAAGAAGCCAAAAGTGAAGGAAATGTGTTGGTTGTTTGGGGTTTTTCCCTCCAGAACTATTACATGCAGAACATATAATAGCTCTGCAGAATTGATACTTTTCTCTCAGTCAGAAATCATATTCTTAGTATCTTAGAAATCATATTCCAGGTCAGACTCATGCATTGATTTTATCAAATTTTTAAGAACATAATGATTTTTCTGATGTATCAGAGGGGTTGTGATAGAGAGTAAAGGGATTTAAGAAGTATTCCAAAAGGATTTGATTCCACTGGTTTCTGACTGTCTGTAGGCTGTACTACCAGCACTTTGACTGAAATTCGAGGGCAGTTAAGTGTTAATGTCACAAGGGGGAGCCCATTTTCCGTGAATGCAGCCAGGAATTTGAATTAGTCATTAAGGGTCTAAAATCCAAGCCTATCTGATGAGGTACCTGTTCCTGCTTCACTAGGCTGCCTTGGTGCTTAAACAAGGAGGGACTGTCCAGGAGAAGCTTTAAATCAGTGATCTTACATAATTCAACATGTGTGATGGTTGAACAGTTTTAAATGATCCAAGTTAAAATACGGGCAGAAACACTGAACAGCCTTAACCTTAACTGTTTTGTTGTAGGTCGATCATATTGTGTATGCTCTCCAAGAATGCTGAATCAGTGTCTTGAGTCGTTGGTGCAAAAAGTGCAAAGTGGAGTGGTAATAAACTTTGAAAAAGCTGGACCGGATCCCTCACCAATTGATGGTACTTGACATTTTTTACACTGGCGTCAAATAACAGGGATGACTGTGAATATAATTTAGTGAAGTTAATGTAGGAGTTGCCAAGGCAAAAGGGCAAGTGTTGCAGTTTCAAAGACATTACTACAAATAGGACGTGCTAATTCTGAAATTCTGTTGTTTCAAAATACTGGCTGCAGTTGCTAGACATATCTACATTTGTTCATATTACTCAGGTAGTATTAAGTGCAGTTATTCATGTCAATCATAGTTGAATGGGCTCATGAGTTTTAAGCAGTGGTTTTCAATCAGCTAGAAATGTGAATAACTTGTGGAAAGACTGGGGGTTTATACACTTTATCCTTTTTTTGTTCAGTGTAATAAAGTGGTGGCACGAAGAGTTAAAATAGCAAATACAACTGTGCAATGTTAACTTCTCATTCTAAATGGCTTAACTGGGTTCCTCTTTGGATGTTCCTGGGAAGTGTTTGTGGGAATTTTTTAATCTTATTTTGCTACAATAAAAAGTTAGTCCAGCAATATTAGTCACTTATCACTTTTTTAATGCAGGGATTTGAAGGTTATGTGTTAGTAACACTGAAGGAGAAAGGAACTGATGATTTTGAAGGGCTCGAGATAATTGGCTTTCTCAGCTATGATCCTGTAAACATTCAGTGGTTAATAGGTTTCTCATAGTCTGTGTTTTTGCGGGAATGCTTACTGACAACTATCTACTATTCTTAGAAATAATATTTAACTGCAGGAAGAGCTTCCCTGAGGTTATAGTTCTTGAACTCCTCACAGAAGTTGTTTAATACTCTTCTTGAGTTTTAACACTGTTTTGGCTCATAAAGCCTTTTTCTTCTGTAGATGGGCAGGTGGAGATATCTAGACCCTTTGGACCCCAACCTTGGCACAGCTGTCACAAACTTATTTATGTCAGACCAAACCCTAAAACTGGGGTTCCTATAGGTCACTGGCCTGTTCCTGAATCCTTTTGGCCAGATCAAAATTCTCCAACGCTGGTACGTACTGAAGATAAAGCAAAGGGTTTGTGCATGTGGGAATATTCCCGGATTTTCTATTCACTGATATTTTTAAAATCTTGAATTACATATTTCATTGTAGCAACTGTAAAAGCAGTGTGACCCTAGAAGGAATGACATGTAAATCTGTGTTGCAGTTATCTCTTATAAATTATTGATGAGCTAATAATAGAGTTTGCTTTTTAGTAACTTTGAAGCATTAGGAAACTGCCTGTAACAGATTGATTTGTTGACCCTAGTACATGTATGGAGTGTTACTGCTTTGAACCCTGTTAAATATCAAATGGTGGTGCTTTGGTAAAACCCTATTGAATTCTTTTGCCTCATAGATGGCATTAATAGAAGATAGTATGATCTTCTCAAGTTGAATCCTTTTGGTAGTTCTGTCATCCTAGCAAGTGAACATAGTTCCATCTGCTGTAAGTGCAGTGTAGCCATACCTTCAATTTATCCAAGTTGAGAAAACCTTGTTCTTTTCAATTACAGCACAAAGAATGAATTTGTTTGTTCTTTTTCATAAAAGAGTATATACCCACTGCCTTCTGGTCTGAGAACTAATCATTAGTATAATATAGTGTATTTTGTATTTCTACTAATATTTGAAAATTATTAAAGTAGAAATAATGCAGTTGTATAATTGGTACATACTTTTCATAATTATTTTTACTGAATCTGTGTTCTTTTGATCTGAAATGGGTGTGCTGACTAGTACATTCACTGAACTTCTCATAAATTTTACTTCTTCTGGTTGAAAAACATATGAAGTCCTCTGAAATACAGAAGTGATACCAGTATGAAATTTTAGTGATATTTACAAATTTGATATTGATAGCATCTGTGGCTACATTCATTGAAGGATGTGGATGCCATTGTGAACAACAGCAAGCTAGCATATATGAATAAAAGTAAATCTTGTGTCGTTATTAAAACCACAATTTTGTACGGGATATTTAAAAGCTGTTCTGCAGGAAAGCTCTTCTGTGTACTGCTTGTAATCACTGTCAATGGCATATCTGTCTCCATTTGCTGTGAAGAGTCAGTACAGTTTGTCTGCTACTGCACATCTTGATAGATCTTGCCAAGTGAAGAATTGTTGAACTAAATTTTCTAGAAGTATGAGGTTGACTTACCCAAATGGCAAGATGATGAGAAACTTTTTCTCTCAGTTGTAGTATGTATAGCTCTCGTAATTCTATAAAGCCCTGTCACGTGCAGATAAATTCCTGTTGACATCAATTGGAATTCTGCATTAAAAAGATTAAAATCCAAACATTGAAATTCCTTGAATTGAAATAATTTTTTTCTCAGACCTAGTTAAAATGAATTCTTTCCAAGTTTTGGCGTTTTTTTTATGAATTCTTGCTGCTCTTGATCTTTGTAGTTCAGTTGGAATTTTGTAACAGTTAAATTGGCCAAGAAGGAGAAGTGCTAGGGGAGGTCAGCAAATGCAAAAGTACAACACTTGCTTCTGTGGAGAGTGAAAATGGACATGCCCTAGAGTAGCATGTAGATTGTAGATTTTTTTTTTTTTTGTCCCTGCTGAGAATTACTTCCATTTGCAAAGTTTTTGTGTAAATGCAAGAAGTCTTAGTTGCATATTGCTCTAGACTTATATAGTTAAATAACTGGCATTTATTTAGAAAATAAGATTCCTTCAGATTTTACGGTAGTGCTAACATCATAGATTAATTGCTTAGGTCTCATTAACAATAACTATGAATCCTATATTGAATAGATTCCTTAAATACATCTGTTTTTGAAGAAGCCGTATTGCTTTAACTGTCATAGCACAATTGCATTTTAATTGTTGTGCAGACTTATTAACAGTGGAATACTTGTGTTTAGCCACCTCGCACATCTCATCCTGTGGTGAAATTTTCCTGTACTGACTGTGAACCAATGGTCATTGACAAACTGCCTTTTGATAAATATGAATTAGAACCTTCACCATTGACCCAGTTTATCCTGGAAAGAAAATCTCCTCAGACCTGCTGGCAGGTAAGTAGAGTGCATGCTGAATTGAAGTTTTTTATAGAATGCTATTTTTCCTAGACTTTATTCTATAAACAAAATAGAATGTAAAATTTCAGAACACAGTACTTTGTATTTATATGCAATGTGATGTGGTTTATTGCAGGTATATGTGAGCAATAGTGCAAAGTACAGTGAACTTGGTCATCCTTTTGGTTACTTGAAAGCGAGTACAGCACTGAATTGTGTGAATTTATTTGTGATGCCTTACAATTATCCAGTCCTCCTTCCACTGCTAGGTAAATACCACTTCATACAAATTTTCTTATGCAGTAGGCAATTCAAACATTGATGTCATCTAAACATTACTGCAATTAGTGCAGGTATTCATCACAAACCCATAGAAAGGTAGAATCAGTAACTTGTTTCACTTGTCTCCAATTGGGTGACCTTCATGACTCAGACTCTAAGATTTAGTTAATCATCATTTTCTGATATGTTTTGGTCTCACTTTCAATATTTTAGGAACCATTTCTCCTAATCCATTGTATCAATGCCAATTCATTTTGATAAATAATTTATCAGGTTTCATCTTTTGGCTGCAGTGTTTATCTTGTGTGTGTATGTTTAGTTGTATATATATTAATTTACAGGTATTCACTTAAGTATTGAGGAACTTGCATTTCTTCAATAGTTTCTTTCACTAGAATTTTCTTTTTTTTGAGAAAATAATGTAATGCTGTCTAGATATGCCTTTCATTTTGTGTCTTTGCTTCTTGTAACCCTTAGATGACTTGTTTAAAGTACACAAGGCAAAGCCTACATTGAAATGGCGTCAGTCATTTGAAAGCTATTTGAAGACAATGCCTCCTTATTATCTTGGGGTAAGATGACTTACTGTGTTAAAATTTTTATTTTATGGTTTTCTTTCCACTATGGATGTGGTCTCTATTTCAAATAAAATATATATTAATTCCAGAGAGAATAGTTAAACTTCATACCTAGTGATAGTGTTTTCACTGGAGTCCTGTGGGGGACCTGAGACCTGAATGTTATGAAAATTTCATAATCTCATAATACACTGTGACTTGTATATAAACAATATCTTTGTTAATAAGTGATTCTGTATGAATGGCACTATGTTTAGAAAAAAAAACAAACCACAAAATGCTACCCTGAGAGTCTTTGTTCTTTTCTTACTTTGAGAACCTCAGGTTCTATTTGAAATGGATACAGTTGGTTGCAGTATGTATAAAGTTAAATGTGACCATAAATATATTCCATATTTCAGCCTTTGAAGAAAGCTGTGAGAATGATGGGAGCACCAAACCTTATAGCTGACAATGTGGAATATGGACTTAGTTACAGTGTCATTTCATATCTCAAAAAGTTGAGTCAGCAGGTAATGTTGAAGCAAAAGAGCAGTGAAAACTTATTCTAATATCAGGATAATCTTAAAATACTGACGTTCAGTGGATTTGAAGGAAAAAAGAGCAGAAAGATGAAGTCAATACCTTCCCATAAGCAATTGGCAAAAAGTAATTTTGGTCTTCTGAATTGCAGGAAAAACATAACATTTAAATATAGACTTTATAAACTGGACTATAAAGATAGATATGGAAGTGTAAATTGTGATTTTTTTAAAATTTATTTATTTAAGGAGCATTTTTACTTGTACAGACAGTAACATACTTTTGTCCAAAAGAAAATATGTTGTTGTACCTTAGATATTAAAGATGTTTTAGGATTTTTTCAGGAAATAGAGAATTTTACTTTGTGCATCTGAATCAGAGTATCCCTCTTTTGGCTTGTGACATGAAATGGAAAGTGTTCAGTAAAAAAGATAAGTGACGTAATTCAGAATCTCAAATGAGGATACAGATGTAGAAGTGACAAGTGACTATTTTTTTGAAATTGTTGACTGTTCAGAATAGTGCCCCTATCTTTGACTAGTCTCCTGCACCAGCTAAAGCATTTCTGCCCTGCTACCTCCACTTTTATTCAACTGTGCATGTTAAGCTTTCTGTTCAAGATAATAAAATAGTAGGCTTGAAACTTCAAGAAATAGTAGTGCTAAGTACTTGTAACTTAGCTAAAATGCTTTTATGGATCATTTTTTTTCTTAAAACATTAATATAAATGATTACTTGAGGAAGCAAATGTCTTGAAGTTTACAGCGTGTTCTGTTAAATCAGTCATGTTGCTCAATACTCTGTGAACTGATGTCTTAACGTAGACATCTTTGACTCCTCTAAAATGTGATGACATGCACTGCAAATTGTACTTAAAGCCTTTTGAACTTCTGAAAGGCCCTACCAGTAAAGACTCACTATTCTCAATAAGTACATGTTCAAATTTTGAGTAGTCTATTAATTTGTGAAATTGGAAAAAAATTGGCAGGTGTATTACTAAATTCCTTTTGGGTCTTTGTTCCACTGTATTTTGTCAGAAAGCTGGCATTTATGAATGTTTAATTTTGGTGCAAATCTAACATGATATTGAAGGTTATGTCTGTCTAGCCAAACAGAATCAGGTATTAGCATATATTTTATTTTTAATAACGTTATGGTTATTTGTATTAAGCTTCTAAAAAGTTGATACCTTTGGGTGACTGATCACAACTATAGTTGCAGGAAAATCAGTCTTGTGAGAGACTGTTTTCTACAATAACAACTGAACCCTATATGAGTACAGGTAGATTTTCAGAGAATTACAAGTCAAATTATGGCATTTTATGAAAATAAAAGCATTGCATGCATATTGGTGCTTAGATACCATAATGGGCAGCAGAGGAGAAATATGCAGAAGACCTAGGCACAAACTGTTCACTATATTTAAAACTGTAGTAAGCATTAAGTGGTTATGTATTAAGTACTCCTTAAGCGCTCATCCTGGTTATGGTCATCATAGTGTGTTAGCGCGTTGTTGAATCTTGTAGGTAGGAATTTAAAATGAATAAGTCTGACTAATCCTTTTAAGAGCATATTGTCAATTTTATTTATTTATTTATTTCAAATTAAGGCCAAAATAGAGTCCGATAGAGTCATTGGCTCTGTAGGCAAAAAGGTAGCGCAAGAGACTGGAATTAAGGTCAGAAGCAGATCACACAACCTGTCTATGGCACATAGGAACGATTTTCAACATCTGCTACAGGGGATTACTGGGGAAATTCCTCATAGACCTCTAGACCTCAATATGAAGGAGTATGCTGGGTTCCAAATAGCTTTGCTGAATAAGGTAAGCACCACTGTGTGTAATGTTGTTATTTTCAATATACTTCCATTGAAATGCTAGATATTGTTTTTTACGTGGCATTAATTGAGACTTCATTTACTGGAACCATAGGATTTGAAACCTCAGACTTTTAGAAATGCTTATGACATACCCAGAAGAAATCTTTTGGATCAGTTAACACGAATGAGATCTAATTTACTGAAGAGTACTCGCAAGTTCCTGAAAGGACAAGATGAAGGTTAGATAAGTTTTTGTCTACCTGTGATATGATTATTACTTAGAAACAATGTAACAAATAGTGTAGTTCTTTAAAACTTGGATGTCTGTTGCCATTAAACTGCATGGTTTCTTAGATACTTTTCCCTTAAATAGCTCATTGGAGGAAAAATGGTGAGGATAGAGAAGATTGCACATTCACTGCTCGGTCCTTCAATCCATATGAGGAAACCTGGGCTTTTACAGATGATTCTTTGTTCACTTTTTTTTTCTTTCACGGATGTATCGGATGAAAAAAAACATCACAGCAGTTCTGAATGTTATGATCTCTCTCCATAGAAGTGGATTGTGAGCAGTGGAAAAGTAAGCTAGCTCACTGGTTGTTGCCAGTGTGATTCTTTTGCCTGTTAGGCCAACAACAAATAGTTTTGTAGTCTGCTAATTTATTTCTTTACCTTTTTCCTGTGTCTTCTGGCACTGCTTTGTGGCATCTAACAGAAGATCAAAAAAGTGGAGAAGATGAGAAGGGTAATGCAAGTGAACACATACGTTATATTAGTCCTGCCACTGCTTAGGTCAGATTAACATCTGTGCATTTCACATTACAGTATGACTTTGTCAGAGTAGTTCTTTGAGGAGGGGTTTAAACTACATAAAAACTCAAGTTAGGGCTTTTTTCTGCTATTTCTTCTGATGCATGTTTTTCTGGATCAAGCCTTGGCAAATGTAAAGCCATAACAAGTTTAGAATTGGATCGTATGGATTTTTAAGAATTTGCTGATTACAATGGTCAGAAATCACCCTTGCTTTGGGAAAATGCTAGTCTTGACAATTAAATTTTGGGTAGCTAAAACTGGGCAGTTATGTCAAAGCTGTGTACAGCATGGCATGACTACTTTGCGTTAATGTATCTTTTGTATTATTGTTTTAGTTCTGATTTGTTCCCAGTCTGTTTTTTCACCCGTCAACCTGTTGAGAAGTTATAGGACACGTGCGAAAACTAATATCCATGCCTGACAACTATTGCTTATTTCCTGTCATAATGATAAATCCACAAGACATGTACTGATTCATTTAAGCAAGTCCCCTGCAGTGAAAACAGTGTTGTAAATACCAGTTAGGCAAGAAAAATGGTGTTTTGCTCACTTGTTCTGTTAATGCATTTGATGAAAGTATGAAGACTGAAGTGTAAAGTGGGTATAGACTGAATTTTCATAAGGCGAGCAGTAGTGTATATTAATAAACTTTTCTGTTATGATAGATCAAGTTCACAGCATACCTATAGCACAAATGGGAAACTACCAGGAGTATCTAAAACAAATACCTTCTCCACTCCGAGAACTTGATCCTGATCAACCACGAAGGCTTCATACATTTGGCAATCCATTCAAATTGGACAAAAAGGTGACTTTTCTGTAAAACTTTTTAAAAAATGTGTGATTGTGTGTACTGCTGCTTACATTGCTCTTCTTGAGTAGTCTGTTGGATAAACCCTTTCAAGTATTTTTAAAAACACTGCTTACAAGAAAGCATCTCAGGTGTTTTTCCATCAATAGTGTTGTATGGAGGGCAGTCTTTAGTGAAAAACTAGTGTTATGCCTCTAAATAATATTATAAATGAAACACATTTGTCTCTGTAGTATAGCTAATATCTAATCATGTTTTATTTACCAAGCTTCCACCAGGAAAAGCTTCCCATAACTTCAGGAATCTGGACTGTCCCTTCTGTCCAAGTCTTTCTTAGAATTGACCAAACTACCAATATAGTTTAGAGCCTTTGTATTAAATGTGAGTCACTTTGGAGTTACTGAAAAGGAAGTTTGGCCCACTCTGTTGTCTTACTTGGCAGACTGTTGGATAAGGGCCTTAAGCACATTGATTTAGTCTTGGAAGGATTTGGTTGACACTTTATAATTCCAAACATAATGACGTTGTATGTAGCTACCTTATACATACTAAACGTTATCGTAATATCAAAGCATTAATTGTACTTTGTAGTTTTGGTGTAAAAGTTTAAGAATTCCTCCTGTTAATTAATTACAGGGAATGATGATAGATGAAGCAGATGAATTTGTATCAGGACCTCAGAATAAACATAAAAGACCTGGAGAACCAAATATGCAGGGGATTCCAAAAAGACGACGCTGTATGTCCCCCCTGCTCAGAGGCCGACCACAAACTCCTCCGGTTGTGAATAACCACATTGGAGGAAAAGGGCCACCAACACCAATTGCACAAGCACAACCTGACCTTGTCAAACCTATTGCTATTCACAAAAGTAAGTGAATCTTCAACTTCAGAGTTTGCTGTTTAATTTATGCAAAAAAACTTTTGTGTAAAAATACTGCTGGTGATTTATCAAATAGGGCAGTTTTATACCTCATTTTTGAAAATGAAGTATTTAAGTGTGCATCTGGGGTTAATTACAGAAAGAGTTCATATAGTCCTTCAGACAGAAGTCTCTTTTATATGAATTCCAGGTATAAACAATATATTTCCTCTACTAAATGAAGAGACAGTGTAAACAGGGGGAAGGAGTTCCTCCTTTGCCTGGAAATTCACATGCTTCACAAGTATCACAACATGAAGTTATTTTGAATTTTCCTCTAATGCGGTGAAATCACTTCCCTTATTGTGGAGTTGAGCTGCTGTTTAACAGTCTTGCTCACTGTTCAGTACTAATATAAGCTTGTTCAGTTTGATTTAATAGGAAAAGACACCATGTCATAAAAGCACATCTTACAGGTGGTTTTTGTTAGTAGTTCGTAATTTCCTTTTTTTGTATAAAGAATATACCTCTGTTTTGGTTTGTTTTTTTTTATTTTAAAAGCCATTAATTGCCAGAAGATGTAGTGATGTGCTCAATGTTATAACCCACAAACAGGTTTTCTTATGCCTGGTGTGTACAGTAGACTGACTATACAAGCTGGAGCATAGTTTTAAAAGAGTCCAATAGACCTGACTCACAGACTTCTATCAAATGATGAAGAATGTAAAACTGGCAAGTGTAATCTTTGTTTTTTCAGCATCAGAAACAAATAATGAAGTTGCGATTGATGATGTCATTGAGAATCACGTTACAGACCCACTTTCATCAGATGTTTTCCCAAATTCTGCGGATTCAGACTTTTCACTGTCTTCTTCGCCATTCAATTCGTTGGATCGACCAGCAGATCATACAGATGATGTGGTCCATGAGCATTTAGGGAATAATTTGAATGTTGATGGGTTTTTGGAGAATCATGAGGAATCAGGTAGTAAAGAACAAAGTACTGAAGAGAACTTGCCAATGTCTTCACCCAGCAAAGGGAAAAAACCAGTTCATTGCAGAAGTTCCAGAGAGATTAATGTAGACCTAAGAGCACAAATTATGAAAGAGATCCGAAAACCAGGAAGGAGTAAGTATACCAGGTGTCTTTCAGATGATTGACATGAGAATTTAACAAAGAATTCATATTAGATTGCCATTTTAGAAATGTACTGAACTATAAGACTGAAGCAAAATGCATTTAAAGCTGAAAAGGTTTGTTTTAAAACCTCTACCAAAAACTTCCTGTATGAGTGATTAAAATATTGCTATACCTATCAATGTTCATGAAAGCTGTGGATTTTGTATCATCAGTCTTAGACTTAACTTGTTAGGTGTTCCAGTAATACCCTAAACTGCAATAATGTGTTCTTTCTTGTTAGTTTTCATTAAACAGTATGTCATTACTGTGGTTGATAGGAGATACAGCCTGAAATCTTACAAAAACTTGAAGTCTGTTGCATTTCACTCAGATCTATTACAACAGATATCTGTATAGGCATTTTTAAATAACTGATTTCTCTCTTTTCTTTACCTCTAAGAATATGAAAGAATCTTCTTTTTACTGAAACATGTACAAGGAAGCTTACAAACCCGACTGATATTTTTACAAAACGTTATTAAAGAAGCTTCAAGGTAGGTAACTGAATTGTACTAATCTTATGAACTGCACCATGTAGTGCTATTTCTAACTGCTTGACAACTTGTTTGGAAACAATGCACTGCGAGTAAGTAATTCCCTATGAAAAAACAGAAATTCTTAAGCTTCTTGAGGTGTTGTTTGCACAAGCTTACCTTTTCCCCTCAGATTTTGTCTTAAAAATTTAGCAACTCTGTCAAGTCACTGTAAACATAGATGGACAATGGGACAGAAAGAGTAGGTAACTTTAAAAAAATCATTCAGATTTCAAAATTCACGTGTAAGTATACTGCTAATTTGAAAATCTGATGGAGTTGCATATTACTGTGAGTTGGGCTTTCAGAAACAGTTGAAATTAATTATTCTGCATCAGCTCAAAATCTTGTCCTAAAAATAGTTTTGACATCCAGGTATGCTCTGTAAACATGTGTCGACTCTTTAGGCATATTTAATTCAGATATTATAGTCCTGTCTGAGACTTTGGAAATGGAGGTAGCTTTTCACTGGAGAAGAGACTTGCTGAGGATTTAAACCCTGTGTTGTTGATCCAGGTAGGAACTGTTCCTTTACGGTATCCTGTAGATAGACTGTCCAAACTTAACCTTCTGCATATTAACTAAGAGGAAAGAAATGAAAAACATATTAGAACCAATAATGTTTGAGTTACAGGGAACTAGTAATTCCAGCAACTTGCTTGGATCATAAATATAGCTAACTTTAGAGCTTACTTCCAAAACCTCAAAGAATAGTTGCTTTTTCTTCCTCTACTCTACTTTTGTAGCAGTCAGCTTTTTTCCTGTGGCATTATTGAACAAATTTTATGATCAAAAGACAAAGTAATTTTTGGATAAAACCTTGCTAAGAATTTAAGGTACACTGGACATTGGACATTTGTACAGATTCTCTAACCTTTATTGTCAGCTTGGTGAGGCATGTAAATTTATATAGATCATGCTCTTTCTATAGCAACGATTACTTTATCGTGCTTTTGTTTGGCCGATATATTGCCTGTCAGAGTTGTTGCATAGCTTGCAGGTTAAACGTGCTTCCTCACTATCATCGCACAGCAAAAATTAGCGTTGCTCTTGGAGTTTGTGGCAGCCTTTAGTGGGGTTGGAATATTTGAGTCTGTAAAATTAGACTCTTAAGATCACCTGTAACTCATTTTTTTTCTGCACAACCTCTTTGTTACACCTATCTTGAGTTGACACTTTTTCTGCAACCTTTGGTAGTGATTGAGTGTTGCTGTTGAATGCATCAGAATTAAATCCTGTCTCCTACCATAACCTACAGTTTTCTGTATCTACTGGTGGAAGAGGCTGGCTTTTCTTTGTTCCTGTTTGTTGTTGTTGTTTGTTTCTGATTGTTGTTAACTTCAATTTTTATTGATTTGATTGTAGGAACACCTTAATCTCCCTCCTCCTCTTCTCTTGTTAGTTATGTTTTTATAGTGTGATCATTTTATCCACCTGCCTACAAACCCTGTTCACTTCTCTACCTCTTTCCTTATCCAGGCAAGCTATTATGTTTAACTCAGGTTTCCTGCTCCCTGCAGGAAACATCTCTAGGCTTTCCAAAGCTGTCAACCTAGTTGTTTTGTTAACTGATAGCTGACTTTACAATGCCATGGAATGCAATTCAAATTTGGGATGACTGCTTTCGTTCCCTGCTCCAAGAAGCTCTGTCTGAACACAGGCTAGGGAAAGCTCACTTCAGCAACAAAATGTGTTTATAAAGAGCCCCATTCAGTTTCGGAGGTTAGTCCACTATAGTTGGAAGGGGAGAGGAAGATTTATAAAACAATCCTCAGCTTTCAGCTTCCTTTGGAAACTGACTGGCCCACAGTTCCTCTTTTGGCAGCAGAAAACCTATCACTTTTGAGAGGCAATGAGGAAAAATGGAGGGGAAGCAGTACTTAAATGTGGTATGTCTGTGGGATACTGAGGACAACTCTAAGAAAGATGGGTAAGAGGCCAGAGCATGGGTATTCACTGACATAGCAGTTGGGAATGGGAGCTTGTTTTCCCCATAGTCAGGCTGGAATTGTGGAGATTCCTGTAATAGGGAAATTAGGGCAGATACCATGTCTCTGTGAGCCAACAGCATGGACCAGGATGCCTGACTGGAACCTAGAGGCTTTTGCTGGGCTTTAGTGAGGCCAGAGGACTGAACTTGGTATATAGTTCCGAATGTTTTCATTGCTGCCTATTTGTGAGCACACATGTGGCTACCAAAGCATTGGTCAGAAGTGGCTTCTCAGCCCTTCCCCTTGTGACATTTCTGCACCTATCTGGAAACAGCAAGGAGTTTTACTTGTTGAGGCAGGAGGTGTAAGCAAAGGTGACAGAATGGCCTACTGTTTAGATTTATTCAATCTATACGGAATAGAACTGCAGAGACTCCAGATGTATGGATTATGCCTGTATTTTTCTTTAATTTCTTTCTCAAAATCTAATTTGTATTTTTGTCAGGAAATCTGCTCTGCATTGTGTAATGGCTGTTCCTTCACCAGTACCAACTTCATTAACCTTCTGTGAATGCACCATGAAGGCATGCAAATAGTTCCTAAAAGCTGTTACTAGCTTTAGAGTTACAGTTCTTTTGACGGATATTTTACTTCAGTATTTCAGAACTACTTCTAGAAAAAGCAAACACTTAACTCTCTTTTAGCTGGATTTATGAGGGCTGAGTGATGTTCAGCAATGTGCCAGAGTAGACTGTAGTAAACATAGTTTTGTACTCATTAAATGGAAAAGCAAGTTAGCAGTTTACCAGAACGTTAGGAGAACAGTGTATATACATATGAGATATGTGTAGTCTCACCATGTGCTGGTCCTAAAGTAATAACTGAACCTTCCAGAGGTCAGGAGAAGTTTTCTGAATGACGTTTCATGTATTACTGTGTGCATCCATTATCATGTTTTCTTTTAAATACAGGTTTAAAAAACGAATGCTAATAGAACAGCTTGAGAGTTTTCTGGAAGAAATACATCGCAGATCCAATCAGGTCAACCATATCAACAGCAGCTAAGAAACTGCACACAAGAGAAAACTGCAGCAGGGCACTGCTGTCCTTAATTGCATTCATTTTTGACATGCACTCTTATCTCCAAGTTCCTGTACCTGAAAAAATGAGCTGCTCTATAAAATGATGAGAAGAGTATCCATCATCTTTCTTTTTTTCTTCACTTCTGTTATTTTTGTAATGTGAAAAATACTACAAAAACACTTTTATTTAACTAAATGGAGAACTTCTTGCTTGTCATGGACATAAGTGTCACTTTCCCTCAGGTTCTATTTTTCTTAATCCAACCTTCAAAACTATCACCTCTCAAGGTTGAACTTTGCCAAAAAGTTACTTTGTAATTTTCAAAAAAAAAAGCACATACATTAAACAAGGTAATGTTTTGTATATACAGTTATTTTGAATATATTATTGTAAGTTGTATAAATGTATTTTGAAAAATATTTAAGAAAAGCACTTTTGTTATTCCATCAATAAAATCTCTATTTTAATCTTCGTGTAGGTTTGAGTACAGTTTTTGTTGGAGTGATTAATTTTGCCCTCCCTTTTCAAAGCTTATATATTCTAGTATCAGTGTTAAAGAATTAAGTGTTTTGTATTACTGGGTATTCCATTAATCAGAGAATGGGTGAAAGAAAGCTAATGCTGAATTGCAACTACAGTAGGATGATATCTTAGCCCTTCACTGTTTGGTGATGTTCTGTTTGCACATTTGCAGCAATGACGAACCCTTCAGTTTTACTGAGAGATAGAGTGGGGTAAAGCAGGAGTCAGTAGCCTTTGAGAAAGGCTCCACCAGAAGTTTTTATGTGTTTACAAGAGCAGGAATAGCCAGAAGGTGCTGCTGCTCGGACACAAAATATCACTGATTGCTTTACTGGCCTTGTCTTTCATCTGTGCTAGATGCACCCTGAATTTCTAGCAAACCTTGTTTGATTCAGTGGGAGCTAAACCAAGTCCTCTCTGCTTTTTGTAGGAGTCAGTGGTTTACAGTCTTCACCCAGAATCTCTGGGCCTTGGGGTTCTGGTGCTTATATTGTGAGTTGCTGAACACTTGCTGTATCTCAGCTTTTGTCAGGATGCTGAAAAAACTCTCACATTTTCTAGGTGCTTTTAGCTTCATTCAGTGTTCTTTAGGAATGTCCATTCTCTGTTGCTTACAATTCAAAGGTAGTAAAGGTAGTACTGCTACTTTTTTTGGCAATAATATTTGTTTGGTCACTGATAAGAGTGGGTATTTCTGCTTCCTCTCTGCTCTGTCTGGAATAGGCTGCCCAGGGAAGTGGTGAAATGGCCATCCCTGGGAGCGTTCAAAAAGTGCGTAGATGTGGTGCTTAGAGACTTGGGTTAGGGGTGGATTTGGCAGTGCTGGGCTAATGGCTGGACTTGATGATCTTAGACACTTTTTCCAACCTTGATGATTCTATGGTTCTGTGCCAGTTTTGAAAGAGTCTTTCAACTATATTTTCTTTCCACAGCATCTTGCTGTTTGCTCAATACCTTACTATCTCAGCTGGATTATATCTGTTTGGGATCAGAATGAATTTCAATTTTATTCTTGAACTTTTGACTTCAGGACAGGGAAATAAAATTGTGCTTGAAAAACAACATTTCTTGTAGGATGCTTTCATTCAGATGACCTACATACTCGGCAACAGTCAAGCTTTCAGCCATGATGAAGTTAAGTAGAAGCTGTTGGCCCATACTGTTAAATATTTAAGGGGCAAAATTTGTTCGTTTTTTTCTCAAATGTTTATATGCTTACTGTCTTTGCTGTAGTTGTGGTGCTCATAATTCCTAGACAGCTATAAGTTTCCAACAGTGTGTACAATGTAATAAAGTAGTGGAGGGCTTAGTCTCACTTTTTCTTGCAAAAGTGTTACTGCTTAAAGCAGTGTTTTAATAAATACATATAATGTAGCCTTTAATTTCTTTGGAGGAAAGCTCACCGTAGGAGGAACAGAAGACAGCGTATTTGTTTAGTGCTTATTATGAAGGATTTGTAACTCTTCCTATAAAGAGTACTGAACCTGTAAATGAAAACAATATTAATGTTATTTCAATGTGGGGGCTCACTTTCAAAGTGTAGTTCAGTTTAAATACATAAACTAAGCATGGAATTAGCAAATCATGCAATCACGCATTGCTTATATGGAAAAACTGACTGCAGTTGCACCCTTATCTTAGAATAATTTGAACATTTCTGTATTAAAAGCTAAAAGACCTTTTCAAATAGTTGGTAACCCAAACTAGAAGTTTGCCAAAATCTCAAACCTACCCAAACCACTGGCTAAAGAATCACTTCTGAACTGAGGAAAACAGAGCCTGAATTTGTTGATTTGTGTTCGTGTTTTAGTTACAGACGAGATTATTACAACCCCTTGAATGAAATCACTGCCTCAGATACATTGGATTTGTTGTTGTTTGTATTGCTGTTACCTTGCCTGTCCTTCAAAGGGAATGTGTTCAAACCTGAAATTCAAATTAAAAAACTTAACTTTTTAAATTATTTTAAGCAGAACTATGCCATTTAAGTCTTGGAAAATATATTTATTCTATTATTAGAAGATTGATGCAGTGAAGACTCTTGGTCTACATAAAGATTCATTGTGAACTTATGGACACAGTGAGTTTTAAGCACCTGTAGATAAGTTGGTAAAATATACTAACAGTCGATCTTGTTTACCCTTTCCCCTTTTCATACCTGAAAAAAGTGTCACTAAGTCTGAGCAAACAAAATGACTCCATTAAAAAGCTAAAAGTACAGAAATGTACTTCTGATTTTGAGTTGATTGGAAAGTATTTTATACTTCACATAAAAATCTTGTTTTACAATTGGATTTCCTTCCTTTATATAACATATATTATAAGCTGAGCCATTTTATTCACCAAAATCAGTTTGTTCTTAATCCAGAAGAGTCTGTGGCTCAGGCTTCATAGATGAGCTTATTGATGCCTTTTTATGTTAAAATTCTGTGGTAGCCAACTAAAAATACTTTTATTCATTAACTGGTAGTGATTGCCAAAGCATATTTAAAACAACGTCCACCAAGGTAGTGATTTTTCTCTTTAAAAAATAGCTGCTTGCATTGTGACGTTGAAATGTTAAGATATGGGTTTTTAAAGCAGAATATTGCATACACAGGTATTCACTGACTAAGAGAAATGTATTACTTAGAAGCAGATAAGGAAAACTATTCTCTGTGGTCTTCTTGCTAGGCCCCAGTGTTTCACTGAACCCTATAAATTACTGTGTTCCCCACTTATGGGAGAAACTTGGTGGTTTGAAGGATTTACTTAAACTGCAAATTTACTGCATTGCTAAGAATGGTAAGAGCTGTTGGAGATGGCCTGATGCTTCAGAGGAGCAAATACCTACTAAATGGTGCATAATGCAATTCTTTATTATTGCCAATGAGCTATATGGTGTTTTCTTTTGGCAGGGATTCTGGAATGTGATTGGGCATCTGAAATGAGACAATAATACTGAAGCTAAGGAGCAGTGCGATGCTTCACTCTCAAGACATGCTCTACAGTTTTGTTTGTGTTTTTGGTTGGATTTTTTTGTTTGGGTATGGGGGTGGTCAAGAAAGAGTTACCAGTTGCAAAAGAAATGCCTTTTTTTTTTTTTTTTTTTTGGCAGAAGTCTGTTTGCTGTTTGCCATCAGTATAGGCAAAGTTTCATTTATAGGGAAAGATCTCTATTTTAACTATTTCCAAAGATAATCTGGCCAGTTTGTAATTTGAATAGCCCTGTGGAGTTCAGTCCTTAATGCTGGGGTGTTTAAGATCTGTGAAATCTTTCCTATTGCCTATAACTGTTGTAGAAATGTCTGAGCTCATACTGCATCCAGAGAAGAGGCTAATCTGACTTCTATGAGTTGTGCATTCTTTTTAAGGAAATTGAACTGTAGTCTTTATGCTTTAAAAACCCAAACCCCACTGTTCCCATGTTTGATGAAATTTCCTGGATTGAAGAATGGCAGGCTACTTAGAACTTGTATTGATTTCAGTGCTGCTTGTGAAGGATTCTGCTCCTGAAAGGCAGAGCATGCATACCTGTATTAGCTTGTCTCAGAAAAAATGTGAAGGGTCGATCTGCTCTGAAAATAGGTGTTCGAGATCTTTTTAGTAATACCATTGCTGTAATGCAACAAAGAAAACATAAGTAAAATGCATCCATTTTCTTTGCGTCTTCTGCACAGTGCCCTCAAGCTCTGATGTTTAGTACCTTGAGTTTTGAGTTGCTACTCTGCTTTAACTATAAAACAAAAATTTTATCCAACAGTGAAATCGGTCTGATTGAATTAATGAGTCCAGAGTTGTGAGACTACATGCAGGTGATTTGTGTGTATTTTGATCCTTCTGGCTTTGGATTTCAAAGGTAATGTAATTTTTGATGTTGTTGCAGCCCTAACTCTGCTGAAGTCATACCATGCTATTGCCTCACCTGTTAGCCAATTCCTGGCTATGCTGTTCTGATGAAAAAGATAAGCAAGGCACAAATGCAGTCCCTTTTCTAGTTGGGAGACATGCAGCAGAGAAATATCTGTCATCCTGGAATTTCCCTTGTCAGAGCTCTGAACAAAACCAAAGTATCCTCAATCTCAAGTTATGATTGATTTTCCCCTCTCTGTTTGTGGGTTAATGATTAGACTAAATAAAGAATCCTTAAGAATTATGATGGCTCAGCTATTATTAAAATACATCTTTAAATAAATTATTCCTTGTAGCTATGTAGTATTAAGAATGCATTGTCAAAACACCCCAATACTAAAACCAGCAGATTTGGATTATTTTTTGAGAAGTAAAAATGATGGAATTAATTTGAAGACTCAAGTAAGACACAGTAAAAATAGTTTGAGATGCAGTGTTTTAATGCTCATAAAAAAGTGCCTATTTTTGCTTTTAAGCCACCAAGTGACTAGATCCAGAACTTTTAAAGTAAACAAACATATTTTAAAATCTACTTCTTAGCTTGGTCTGACTGGAGTTAAGGGAGTTTTGGCATTGGTTTCAATGGGATAAAGGTTTATTACCCTTAGGTTGAAGCCATCTAGAAGCCTTTATTTTGTGTAGGGATTAGTAGAAAAATTATGAAAAGTAATAGAGAGGAAAATAGTTTCAAAATTTAAAACTACAGCTCTGCAGAAAGGTTAACTTGGTTACATCAGCTGTTCACTGTACACCCACCTGTGTACTACATGTGTTAGATTCAAAACTGTTTCTAGATAAATACTATAAATACACCAACTCAGGTTCCTTTGGCATTGTGACTGTGGGACATTTGAGTGAGGGAATGTGCACACTGCAGTGAGGTTCACTGCTCTCTCTATGTGCCTCTTGAATTCCTTCCTGGAAGCAAGGAGGAGAAGTGGGAGAGACTCAGATCTTGCCCTGATCCACAGTTAAGGACCACCACTAGCATTTGCATTGTGCGTGTGGAGCATGTCTACAGTTGGCACAGCCCAGGGAAGGAGAAATATGAGAAGTGGTTAATGATCACCCTGCTGCTGTGCTGATATTTGAATGGCTTGAGGGCAAGTTCAGCCTTTTCAGAGAAGAAATGGAAGGGGTTTAGGGTTACAGTTGCTTTCCATGCTTGCTTGGATCATCTGAGGCTTCCAAAGACAAAACAAGAAAAGCAGGGGCCTTCTTTGATAAGGCTCATGTGACCAATTAAAAAAAAGGGAGAAAGGCAAAGCTCATTAATTTTGGTTCCTCTGCTTTATGTAAATTGTGTGAAGGATTTCAGCTGATGAAGGTAATTTACTGACTCTGTAGTCCATAGCTGAGATTTTACTCTGAATCTCCCTGCTCACCCAGCCCCAGCTGCTCATGAGGAAATGATCCTGTAGCAGAAGCTACTGCACGTGAAGGTCACACTTCAAAGTATGTAAGAATCAAGCCTGTCTTAGTAAAACTTTCCCATCATTACTTTTAGTGCTATCAAAGAGATCATCTTCAAATCCCATAGCAGTTCTGGCACTATAGATAAAATATTACCAAGCTTTTCTCATTATTTGTTTTATGGTCTGAATAAACATATTTGACCAACAGAAAAATAAGTGGTTTATTTTCTCAAACAGGATCTCCCCCGGGTTGATAAAGTTGTTTTTCATTAGAGCCTTTACATGTTAGACTGAGATAAAAAATTACAGGTTCTTATGAACATTTACAAAGGTAAAATGGAAGTGTGTTAAATATAAAAGCTTAAATTTAGATTAGGCATACATTTAAATGCTACCATACTTTTTTGCTTTATTTTAAATAAAAGGCTAGTAGTTGGTTTTGTAAAATGCTCCAGAAATGAGAAGTTATGTCTGTATATTTGATTTACCTGTAGCTCCCGATGCCTTTGTACCATCTTCTGTTATTTCAATCTCTGCTTTGTGAATAGCTTCTGAAATGTAAAGACTATCTTGATCTGCAAAAAACCATATTAATAGTTATTTTCTGATTTCCATTACAAACTTATTTTTAAAAGTAATCAGAATGCTTTTACCTTTTTTCCTGCAGAATCTAAGGATCATATAACTGTTAGGTATTTTAACCATCTTAACTGTTTTCCCCCTGTATGGACAACAGTGGACTGAATGCTGGATGGGAGTTACTAGTTTGAGAGGTCTCCAGGTTGTGGTGGAAGGCAAGGTTACATGGTGAAAGTAGAAACTAATTAACACAGTGAGGACAAGACAAGAACTGAGGAACCATTGAAAGGAAAATGACAGGAAAAAAAATGCTCTTCAGGAAGAAACAATGGGACTGTGACATAAAATGGAGCTTGGAAAAAAAACTATTTCAGGAAGCTACTGAGTATTACAAGCCTGCTTCTCTCCGGCTGACTGTGGAGGGCAGAAAGCAGGGAAGGTTGGCAGACTTTCTTTTCTTGTCAAATACTTCTACAAGCCTTATCCTCTGATGGAAACTACCAGGATGCGTACGGAGGAAGGAAGCTGCTAAATTATATTGTTTATGGAGTTAATTTCCTCCAAGCATGTATCTTATTTAAATAGATATTAACTTTATAAAATACATCTTTGTGCACTTCATCAGTATATTAATATTTGTTTGCAATAAACAAAGCAGCAGGCTTTAACAAAAAAGTGAGCAGCAAAATTATTTTAACGTGCATCTCTTTGCAGTCTGAGATATAGAACATAGCAATAGAACACTGCTATGTTCAATTTTAAAAGTGGCACGAAAAACTCCATGAGAAATGTGCCTTCTGAGGTTCATCCCAGGAAAGTAATTTTTCTGTAAGAGCAGGTTTGAATTGAAGGAATTTCAGTTATTCACTCACATGCACAAGAATGTGAGGTGCTCTCTGGGCTGCTACCACTGAGTCTACTATGAGCAGAAATGACTAAGGTGAAAATCTTTGTGTTGCTGGAAATAGTTGAAGAAAGAAAATTGATAATTTGGATTCTTTTTGTATTTAATATTAAATAGGGGCAAAAATTTTCCAAGGAGCAGAAGAATTTCAGGCTTCCAAACCCAAGAGTTTAGTCATAACACCGGTATTTTAGCAAAGGGAAAGTATAACTCCATCCACTGGTCACTGGATTAGCAAGATAATGTGACCTGGGCGCATATACCACTACCGTTTGTAATGTCAGGAGCTGAAATACAGACTTGCTGGTCCAGCATCCCTAACTGTTTAATGACTATTTAAAAACACAAATAGGATGCTTTAGTACAACTTGCATTCCTAAATTTCTGAATAAATAAACGTTTTCCAGGCCTATGCCATCCTGACAGTTTTAATCTAAAAGAAAACAGAAGGAAAAAGTAAGTTCAAGACTCAAACCAACCCTGTCCTTTTCAGGTTCCTCTTTTCCACAAAAAAAGCTCAAAATTTTATCAACTGGCAAAATTGATAAAATCAATTGATAAAATAGAGCAGTTGAGGCATGAGCTGTGTTTTACAACTTCACAAAGAAAGCAGTGCAACTAATTCAGAAGACTAAGGTCTACCAAATCATTCAAAGGTAAAGGTCTACAACTGTTGGGTCGAGGATCATTTTGTGTTCAGTCAAGTCTCTTACCTGAAATGCCTTTAAAATTAGCAGTGATGGGATCAAATGCGTCTCTAACTCCCAAGGCAGAAAAAACTGTCTTTAGGTCTAAGAGGCTTTGAATACTGAACCTGAAATTATTATGATAGATTTTATTTAAATGCAGGATTTGTAGTTTCGTAGAGTTAAAAGCATAACAGATGCAATTTATTTCAAGCCTTTCCATTTCATCCATCTATTCCTGTATGAGCCCAGTGCATGCTGTCTGATTAAGTGTACTTTGCAGAAAAGCACCTCATCTTCACCTGAAGTTGTTAATAGAAGGAATCCCTCACCACCATCTGTTGCACTCAGATTGCCTTTCAGTCTTCTTGACATATGAACTCTGCATTTTCCCAAGTTTGGCTGTAGCAAATGGCACTTTGAAACATTTGCCAATGATTAGCTTGGAGAAAAAGAATATTAATGCATAAACAGTTTCTCAGGGCTTCATTAATGTGATGAATGCATAGTAAGAGATGTGTAATGAAGCCCTTCCATGCTGATCCATACAATAGGTACAGCCACAAAAGGCCTCCTGTACTTACTTCCTCCTGCTATGCAATTTCGGTGGAATAGATGATGGAAAATACCTCCAGGGTATGTGTGTTTGCAAATGACTAAAGTGGAAAATGAATGATGTGAACTTGGTTTGTGCAGGGAAAGATGGGTGTGACTATGAGGGTAGGGGTGTGCACAAGTTCTTTGTACAGTGCCTTTTTGTAGTACACTGACAAGTTTAAAAAACACACAATAGTGTGTATTTACAAGGTTATATATTTTTTTTCTTCCTTAAGCAAAGAGAAAAATGGAGTATGGGAAAGGTCCAACATCTCTTTTAGGTCCTTAAAGGATTGTTAATCCCAAACAAATTTTAAGTAAAACCTCTAGGATCAACTGCAATACTTCATTTTTTTTAAGACAGTACAGAGCATACCAGAAAGTCTTGTCATTCCCAGCTCACCTGTTTGTGCCTTAAGAAAGGCCGTCTCTGATCATGAAATGAATAACAAAACAGAAAGCATGTCACTTGATTTTGCTCACACATTGCTCGTGAAGGTGCTATCACATGAAATTCTGACAGTTGAAGTAGTGAAGCTATTGTGCTAACATTGCTTACCTAGGTAGAAAAATGTCCATCTTTGTTCTCTTTAAGCTGTTGGCCCAGAGGGTTATGTCTTTGGCAGAAAGGTGAGACTCAATCTGGGACAAAGGTGTTCTTTTATGGCTGGGAAGCACTAGGAACATGCTGTGTTTCTCCCCCAGGTAGGGTAACTCAACCACACTGAATGCCTCCAGAGCCGCAGTCTGGAACTGGCCTGTGGGGTGGGCAAATGTAGACTTTATTTCATCATCAAAGTGGGAAAACTCTCCCCAAACCCACAACCCTAGCTGGGGTCAGCAGACAGTTCTGAGCAGCTGTGGTAGGATTTAAGGAGTTGTCTCTAGTACATGGATTCTTGTAGCCAGCTCAGGTTGCTATTAACTCACAACAGTCTCTCATCTGAACAGAGCTGATTGTGAGAGAGACATATATATCTTGGCAGAGAAGTGCTAATGTAAGTAATAGTACCTGAAGCACCGCCTCAACAGAGCATGGGTATTATATTACTTTCTCATATAATAGCTGTCCTCCTTGCTCAGGGTTTAAAAAATATTACCAGGGCAATGACAGTAACTCTGATGACTCTTCCTGCAATGTATGTTCTTTAACTAAAAATGCAATTTTATAATATTTTTCACTAAAATTTTAGTGCTGATAGAAGTTACAAAAACAAAATGAAGTATCTTACTTAATTAACTGAAATCTACTTTGCCTCATGTTTCTGTCTTTGCAACCTTTAAAAATCAGTTTTAACCTTATTTCAAGAAAAAAATAGTTATATTAACCAATAGTTTACGCTTATTTAAGCATCATATTTATAGTTTTTGAAAATCTAGGCACAAAAATCTATCAAAATCAGATGAAGGTTATAAAAACTAGTCTCAAGAGTAAAAGCTGGAGGGCTTCCAAACTTGCAATTGGTTATACAACAATTTATAATAGCCATTTTAAAGCAACATTTTAATTCCATATTTCAAAGAACAATTTAACCAGACATTTCTAATGGACTCTTACACAGTAGAACAGATTCCACTATCACAATTTTAGCTGCTTATTTTTCCGTCTGAGAATCCAATAAATAGCATTTCAGGAACATTCAATACTGGTTAGCAGACCAGGAGTTAAATGCAAGCTTAATACAAGTTGCAAGCAAACATCTTATTGCCTTTGCTGTAGGCCATCCAAAATACTCAATCTACTCCTTCTTCACCTGGCTGTAGTAGTTGTAACTTCAAGGTGCTCACACTTTCTGAACCAGGGGTTGTAAATAACAGAATATATGTACCTCATGTTCATAATATCTAAATATTTGGCAATATGTACATAGCTGTAGGGTGGGTATCTCAAATACTTAGTGTACAATATTTGTTAGTGTTGCAGATATAGACTAGATAGGATTTGTAAAGTGTTGATTATTCTGCTAGATTAAATCTTAGGCTCTTAGATGAGCCCTCCCACCTTGCAACATGGAGAGAGAATTGCTCTGTTAAAACCAACTCCCAGCATGTGGATCGTTTGCTGGGAAAAGATGTTCTGCTTTCCAATGGGCAAACAAGGAAGATTTACGTTTGTAGTGCACTGGGCATGAGTGGTTTAATATGCGGGCATGCTGATATTTTGAAGTCAGCACGTTCTGCGCAAAGGTTATACAGTCCTTCCTTATTTGTTATTTAGAAAGAAAATCAAAGACTTTATGTTATTGAGTCAAAACATTTAACGTTCCTTGCTTGAACTGATTTTGAGCATCCCATAAGGATTATACATATGCTAAATTAGAATTCAAATGCTGTTAACAAATTGCTTGGAAAAATGAATATGTAAAGTAGCTGCAGTGTTTAAGAGGCGTGTGTGAACAGTAATGTTGACATTTTCTTAGAGCAGTGTTACTTGTCCCCAGGCTGGTTTGTACTTCGTGTTAAAAGGATAAACAATGTTGTAAAAGCTGCAGTTGATAGTAGGTTACAGCTAATCTTTCTCACTCTGTGCTTTGGATCCTGGTGGGAGACAGCTACTATCATTTAATAATGACAGAAAGTTATCTTAGGCCTCTGTTTAGTTGTACTGAGCCAGTCTTTTGCATTTATTTCAAACTGATTTGTTAGAAATGGTTCTGTCACTTTTAGTGACAAAGACTGAATTGGCTCCATCAAGCCTGACAATCAGCAAATTTTAAATGATCCCTTTCATTTTGGCTTTCCTTAAAAGTCTCTCCAGCTGCTAAAAGCTTACATACTTCAGGCTGGATTAGTATTTTGGCTAACTTTCCTTTTCTGTGCAAATATTTAGTGCTTCAGCTACCTACTTAAGGACGATAGGATGGAGTTCTTGTGTTCAGGCAAGTGGTTAAATAAGCAGAACTAACGATTTCACGTCAAGTTTGCGAGGACTCTGGTGCAAATATAGGGTCAGACAATGCAGTTCAGCTGCTGAATTCCTGGTCACTGGCTTTCCCTGACTATACCCACTTGTATAAGCACTGGCAGCCCCCTGCCTTCTGTTGTTTTGGACCTCTCATTTCTTTATTTCACTCTGCTAAAAGGGAAAGTTCAGAGAAAAGGTCCATTCTTAAGGTAATAGCTGTATTTGGTGAGCTTCTTTTGCCACGTGCTTCTGAAATACATGGTGCTCACCAAGTATGTTCCCAAGAAACCTATTTGTTTACCTCTTAAAGCAGTGAAGGACAAGGCTATTCAAGACATCATGGGTAGCAAAAGCCCTTGCTGTGAACTGGTGATACAAAATCACCCAGGACTGAAAAATCGAGTTGAGGTAGTTCATATTGCTCAATAACAAGGAAGATGAGGTGTAGGGTTTTGGAAAGGGAAACTGCACTCCTCAGTAAAGTAATTTAACTTGTAAAAGGTTCAAATGTAAATAGGATGGGCGTGTGTCAAGTCAGAGGTGTGAATGCAGTCAGGAGCTGGCAGTCCCAGCAGGAGGAAGAAGCAATGGTGGGCACATCATGAGTGTCCGGGAAGAAGAGATGCCACAAAGAAAGATGTAACTTCAAGGACAAACTTGCAAAGAGCAGAAGAAATTATTTCTTGACCAGGTGAATTATGATTTAGAGATAAAAAGGCATAGAAATAATGAGCTGCCATCTGCCTGCTTTATGTGACTGTTGCACAGCAAAGGAAAATGTTTTAAGCCATATAAGCTATTAAGCCATATAAGCTATTAGATATTTTTTTAGATTCATGCCAATTATTTGTTGTAACTGGTGGCAAAGAAGTAATCTGATGATAGAGCAAAAGATAATGGTGAGGTTCCTAATGGAAATGAAGAAAAGAGTAATTACACTGCCAGAGATGGAAACAAAGTTTACATTACTTCACATCATAAGCTCTCGTCACATTAGAGAGATGAATAATAATCTGGAGCCTGGATGATTGCCACCCCAAAATATGAGGAGAACTTGGATGTGGAATTGCAAATGAGTGAGCAAAAATTTTAATAGACTGTAAATTCAGTTGTTTCCCATGATTGGAAAAAAGGAGTCATTTATAAAAAGAAAGTAATCTGGGAAGTTTTAGAAAGTACTCTGGAGAAAAGAATAATCAAGTCACAGAAGGAAGTAGAAAGTGAGATAAATTGCAATATAAAGTAGACTAGCAAACAAATCTATAAACTTTTTTGACTCAATAACTAATTTGATAAAAAGGCATAGATCTAGCCATCTAGTTTTAAATAAAACAGCAAATATAATTTCACTGTGGCACTATTTACAGGTAAAAGTGATGGCAATTAGAGCAGGAAAAGAAAAGCAGCAAGCAGACACTTAAAGCAATGTAAAAGAGGGGCTCCCAGGTTGAAAAGAGTTACTAGTGGCTTTCCAAAGTATTGTCCACACTAAGACTTTCATCAAAGACAGTGATTTGCCATGATGACTAAAGTGGTGGAAATCAAATGGTGGTTCAAAAACACAAAAAAAGGAGGTATATGCATGTGGAGACCCCCCCCCCCCCCCCCCCCCTTGAGGACTCATCAGCTGGAAAAAAATGCAGAAAGGAAAAAGGCCCAGGTGGGGCCAACCTTGGGTAACCACCCTGAGCTAGTTCTGCGCTACAGTATGCAAGGTGCTTCTAGGAAGACATAGAAATACTAAAATCATTTTAATAAGCATGAATATAGCTTCATTAAAAGTGTTGTGTACATTCCTGATCATTTATTCTCAAGAAAGATTGATTTAAATTTGAAAAAGAGCAAAAAAGAACTAGTAGAGAATTGGAGCCTGGTTTTCGAATAGCTTAGAAGAGCCAGCTTCTTCAGTTTGTCTAACAGGAAGTTGAGAGACAACTTGGTGACTTGCAAATAACATTTGGGAGTAAATATCAAAGCTGAAGAGAAACTATTTAACTTAATGCTGGCATGATGTTAAGAGATATAAATTGGTCTTGAAAAAATTTATACTTGGAATTAGGGAGGTTTTTATCTATGTGCACTTCTGAAATTTAGGGTAGAAGGGAAAGGAGCTTTTTATATTTGAAAGAGATTGTATAGCTAACCGGCATAATTCCTGTTGGTAGAAAATTAAGCCTGCAGCATAAGTCCTCTTGTCAGCAACCCACATACATCAAGTCTTTGAAAGTAGCCTACACTGTATTCATATATTATTAAAAAAAAAAAGTTTGACCTATATTTATAGTGGTTTAAGCCCGTGCTGAAATCACCCACTGATTTGGCTTAAGCACCATAAAAAATTATCTTTTCTTGCAGAATTTGGCCCTGAAGATCTGCACTTTTACCCTAAAGTCTTGGAAACAGGCTGTGACTAGAGACAAGAGGGATGGGTGTGCAGTGCTAGCGTTCCTGGTTATACCATCCTCCCTCTGGTGCTCACACACTCAAACAACAAGCAGGGATTAGGCTGAGGGGCCAAAAATTTTTTTATCTACCCCACAAATCAAATTGGCTTGATATAATTTTAGTCTTAACTCCCGCTCTGTCATGGGGTCAAATGTGCTTCCTATGGTCCTCCCTTCCTAACCAGCTTTATTTAGCAAGCTCCATGCTATTGTAAAGGACTTTTTATACTGTGGTACCCTCAGTCTCTTATGTTCCTTTCTCCTGGTCCATCATCTCGGTGCCTTTTGGTTGCTTGCTACAGCTGACAAGTTTATTATGGAGTGCTGGGAGGTGTTAGTCTGTGAAGGATGGGACAGGGACAGTAAATATTTTGGGAACCATTCTGAATGCAGAATCTGTTTAATCAATGCTTGGGATTATAAGGAGTCAAGTTGGCCACCTAGGTCGTCTCTTCATTTGATGGGATTTCTTCTGAGACTTCTCTAAGCTAGGAAAATAACACTATCTTAGTGTGGTATTTGTGGAAAATAAATAAAGAAAACTGTTCCAGGTTGTACAATAGCTCAAATCTGGATTAAGAACAGTTACCGTAGTTAACTTCAGCCGTATGATGCATTGTGGGCACTTTCAGAGTTGAGCCCTCTGATGTGGTAAAAGGCAACATCTGAGTGTCCATAAGGGAAAACTTCTTCTGCCACGTGCTTCTGAAATACATGGTGCTCAGCAAGGCAACCTGGCTGAGCGACGACCTAGCAGTCTCCAACGGCATGTCACGCACATCCCCATCTGCATGGAAAAGAGACAGGGAGAGGGACACATGCCGTCCCACTTGCCCAGGCCTAAAGGCCAAGTTCATGTGACTAAATAAACCAAGTCAGGACCACTCTCCATCCCAAAGGGCAAGAGGCAAAACTCATAAGGCACCGTTAACCCTCTACCTTCCCCTCCTCACATGTACATGGACCTCATCTGGATTGCCTGCTGGTCCCTGCTCTCCCCAGAACTGAGTTTGAGTTGGGTAATGTTGAGGGTCAAAGCTGTGCCAGCCCTGTGCTACTTGCTGAACAGTGCAGATGACAGCAGCCCGGTGTTCAGCACCATGCCCTGGCTCTAACTGGTGTTCTCGGTTAAATATGCCCAGGTGTATCTCAGAGTTGTTCATCATTAGTACCAGAAATACTTCATGGCATGACTACAGACTGCTTTATGAAGTAACTAAGTCACCTGGGGCTTATATCCTAATTTTCCCCTTCTCCTGTTTACTTTTCAGTTCAACTGATCCTGCTTCGGGTATCTCAAAGATTTCTGAAAGAGTGATCCGCTTTTAATTCATCGATATTGCAATGTGAGCACTGCAATATGACCTCTCATTTTAGTACCTGCTTCTAGAGCAATATGCTTCTGTCATGGAGCTGGATCACTTCTTAGTGTTCATTTGAGAAGGACAGAATTTTTTTTTTCGTTAGTTTCAACATCTTTAATGTGTGTATTTAACATCAGCTCATATGTTGCTAGCCAAATTAACATTCACATAAGTTGATGGGGCAAATCAGGGACTGCTTTGCTCTGCTGCTTCTAAGGACTTTCTTTTTCAATTATTTTTTCATTAACACAATTTAATTTCATTACTTTTCTTGCTTATGTGGAAAGTAAATTCTTTTTATTTCCCATTTTGACTTTTTAAACTCAGAGTCTGACTGCTGAGCTTATGGCCTTGCATGTTCCCCATAGCACCATGAAAACATTCAGTGCCACAAACAGGGTCCCTGGGGAATTTGGTTGTTCTCATTAAAAGTGAAAACACTGCAAAGGATTGCCATTTTAAAAATTAGAGGAACGAGGCCAACTGGTTACCAGCTTGATACTGCAAACTTATACTTGCAGGTTCAGACCTATTTCCACTCTTTCTTCACATTAGAAATGAGTGTCAGCACAAGAATTAGTTTTTCTGGCTTTCAGCCTTGGTTTGGACAACACAGTGTGGCAAAAAACTGTACTTGGCTAAATGCAATTTCTCTCAGCACTCTTATTTTACGTGTTATTCATGTGCATTCTTGTGGGTTGCTATGTTACCTGCAAGGTTACTGGTGATCCATTCCTGTATTTGGGCCGTGGTTCTGTTGGTGTCAGTAAAGTTGGTTTGCTGCAGGCTGCTGTTTGCCCAGCGTGCAGCATGTGCAGCGAAGTGAGGCAAGAGCTGCACGCCAGCATCCACAAAGAAGGAACATGCCAGCTGAACCACTGTGCCTTGGCTCGAGTCAGTCACTCCTTCATACGCTGTGTGCAAGAAGTCCTGCACGCTTTGATCTGCCAGGCAAGAGAGAGGGAGAAACTGCAACTATCATGTTGAGGTTAAGGATTGCCCCAGGGCTCCACAGCTCTCAGCTCAGTGCTGATGCTGGTGTCCTCTGATTGTTAAAGCACAGAAGCACCCTTGACTTTATGGAGCATTGCTGTCAAGCACTACTGTTGAGGGCAGTGACGCTCTAGGCATGGTAAAGCACTCTTCATGTTGCTGTAGGAATCACTCTACAGCTGCGTCAAGCAGCTGAACTCACATCAGGTTCACACCTCTATGCAAACACACTTCTGAACAGTTTATAAGGTACATTATTTTTTGGTTTTGGGCTCTCTCTGAGTTCCCGTTAGTGAGATCTAGTACCTCTGGCAGTGACTGGCCACAGTACCACTGTTTCCTTCTCTTGCCATTATCCACCTATCCCAAGAAAGGCATCCCCCTGACACCCCCAGATTAGTCTCTGCCACCCTTGGCTCCTAGCCATTGTTTTGTTTCTTGAAGGATAGTGTCCCAAACTGGCCCAGTATTGCTGATGAGCCCTGGCAATGCTAAACAGAACTGATGGTTGCTTCACATGTGTTAGAAGCGACTCGTCTATTCATACAACCCACAACCGTGTCTGCTTTTTTTTCAAGTGCAATTGTATTTCCAATTCAATATTATTTTCTTCTAATTCCTAAGATCCCTCAGATCCTTTCCAAAAAACACTATTTTTTGACTCATGGTTCCCCAATTTAGATGATTGATTATTTCTTGTAAATGTAGAATTTTGCACTTGTCCTTACTGACTTGTATCCTATTCAGTTCACATGTTTCTCTGACTTTCCAGGATCCTTTTAAATACTATTCTGGTCCTCCAAACTGCTTGTAGCAATTACAAGCTCAGTGTCATTCCAAAATTCAATAATGTATTCTCTAGTTTGCTGTCTACTAATGGAAATAGTTGAATAATGCCCTGGTCTCCTGTTTCTGAAAAGCTCATAGTAGTTCAACAATGGTGGCTTCTGTGATGGATACATGGTTGAGGTGTGAGCCCAGAAGGAACATGAGTCCCGCAAACTCAGAGAATCCTGTCTTTTTAAAATCACTATGTTCCCATAGACTCCCTTGAAGGGTGATTTAGGAGCCATTATTTTTCTCAATTGCAATGATTTGTGATTGAATGGTTCATGCCGAAGTGACCTCCTGAGGCCTGGGACTCTCACCCCATCTGAACAACATTTATGTGCTCTGTGTCAAATCTCCTCAAACTTCCCGTGTTTGCAGTTCAGCCCCTTTCCTATATATCTTGCTGTATTTTGGAGGAGACTTGCCTACATCCAGATAATAAAGGTCTTGTTGAGATTGCTACTTGCCTTTAAGACGTTTTCAGCAGGTTCCTCATTGTATAACTAAGTTTTCAATGAGGACTGGGAAATGTCTGGAGTACTGCTTTTCTTTAACAAGACATCAGTGCCTTTTGGATTTGTGGGACCACCAGGAACTTTCTGATTTCACCACCTAGTGCCCCAATATCTATGTGAAACCTCAGTAGCTCACTGTTGTACATGAATTCCTTGCCACCATTTTCAAGGTGGGTTAGTATTGTGTCCCTTGCTGTGGTACTTGGCTCAGATGCTCCTCTGCCTTGGCTTGAAACCCTGGAATGCCCTGGGCAGCTCATAGGTATCTGGCTTCTCATGGTCATGGCTGAGCTCACCATTATGGCTGGTTGGAAATCTCTTAGTTTTGAGTCAAGAGGCCTCAGGCAAAGGAAGTGATCACTCAGTTTCTCCAGTCACCTGTGGATGTGGGCAGAGCAGGAGGGAACTCAGGACTGCCATCTGGGACGTGGGTGTTTTGGGGTGGCTAACCAGGGAAGTGAATCCCACATGGACTGACCTGTCCCACGCTGAGCAAGTTAAGGGTCTCAGGTCAAGGTTAGGATCACCATGAGACTTCAGCTACCAGACAGGTCATCAGGACACTTTTACTGCATTGTTTCAGATTCTTCATGGGGCAAAAGAGAGTTGCACATCTATTGATTTCTACCACCTGAGAATCCAGTATGTTTTTTCTGACCTAATAGTACTACTTTAAGTAGCTAATCTGGAGGAAGACTAATCACCTATTGTTAATAAAATAAATCAGCCAGGAGAAAGCATTTTAAAGCATGTAATTTTGTTTGTGCTGTCTAGAGATACATCCCCTTATGCATTGTTTTTCTTAGTATTAGAATAAAAGTGAACAAATCTTCCAAACATTGAAAGAAGATTACAAGTGCATGCAAGAGCAGATTCTCTGTGAACAGTGAATAAACCATCAATGTTTTCATTGTTTTCAGCCTGCTAAGGTTTTAACCTCATCCTTCATTTGTTTAGGGCAGACCAACAAAAAGATTAATGCAAACATCAATTTGAAGAAAGGGATTTTATCACATATGCATACCTATATAATTTGGTTTTACTCATCTTATAGGAAATTTCATCTCAATATTTGATTTATTTATTTGACTTATTTATTTGATTTAGACCATTTGAGGAAGTGGTTTCCTTCCCCATTACTGGAAATATACTGTTATAACCAATAGCAATAGATCCCATCCTACTTTATTTTCACATTCCTGCATTAATATTACTGAAAGCCAAAGCTCATGTGGCTTGTGCCACAGACAGCTGAAATGGAGATATAATGTCTCCCTGCTATGATGTGCCACATGAGAAGAGAGCATAAAAGAGCTAGCAAGTCATTGACAACCTCTGCACTTCTCTTTGTTACATTTTCTGTGATCTGTGCTTGAATTTCACTGTGAAATGTTATTCTTTAAGGTTCTTTGTTAATAACTGAGCCCCTAATGACCAGAAGTATCAAGCAAGGTATAATCCTTGTATGAATTAACGTTGTTTAGGAACTGAATTTAGAGAAATAGGAGTCTTATAGGCAAGAGTTCATTGTATCAGCTGCTCATAATATAGATGCACTGTTCCTATGTCAGTTCATGTAGCTGATAGCTGTATCTCTATTTATCAGCCAGAGTTAGCTCCTACTGCTGTGTTGGTTTTTGAATATTAGTCTTATACAGAATGGTGATGGTAACTAAGTCAGGTTACAGCACAGGAAGATGAAATAACTGTAGGTTTTATCTTTAGTTTTCATACCCTGAAAGTGAATTTTATGCTGAGAAATAGCAGTGTCATGTCTATACATAAGTCTTGTATATAGGCTGCAAATTTTGAAGATAAGGCAGTCATCTGCTGTTCATAAACATTCTGCCCATAATGTAAAATAGTTTTTGACATGTGATGTGAGATGGTAGGATAATCCAAAGCTGAAATGAAAACAGCATCCTTAAATTAAACTGACTTAATGCTGGATTTAAAGACATCTGTCTTTCCCATATCCCTTCCAAATTCCCAGTGAGTTTTATTTTAGCCTGCTTTCAGGGAAAGATGCAATTGCACCATCCATCTGTCAATGTGTATCTCTGTCTGCCAGTCTCCTTCTGATAACTTTTCATCTTTTTGGCCAGTTGTAATAACATCATAAGTCTTAAAGATAATTCAACTTCTATAGGTTTCATTTGTTAATGGGATGGAAGAGAAAACAACTCTCCTCTGCCTGGCACCTCTTTGCAGAGCACACAGGAGACAGCAGGACACAGTGGACACGATGAACCTCTAGGAAATCTGGAGCAATTCTGCTGTTCATGGAAGCGGCTTTTCTAAATGTAGCTGTATTTTTGTGCCATAAGAGAGTAAGCACTAATTCAGGAAAAAGTGGAACAATAACACATATATCAACTATTCCTTTGGGTTTCCTTTGTCCAGCTGATACCTGCCTATCGAGGAGGGAGAAAGCACTCCTAAACTAGATCTTGCAGTGAGACAGAAAATGGAAGTTTAATATGACGTGTCCCATTCCTGTCTCCTTATTAAGCTGTGAATTTATTAAAAAATGTAAGACAGTAAGTATTTTTTTTAAGCAGTACATACCATGAATGTTGTATCCTAGGGCATCCTGCAGCTCTGTAAAGGTATTTCCTTGTGCTCCAAACTGCAGCAGCTCCAAAGAAACAGCCACACTTGCTGGAGAGACTACCAGATTGGTTCTGTTCTCTGCTTCAGATATATGCCGATAGAGATTGATGGCGAATTCAGTTTTCAGCTCTTTCAGCTCATCATAGGAGATGCAGTTTCCTTTGGTTAAGCAGCAAGCAGACAGGATAAATGCAGAGAAGGAAATGGGCAACATGAAGGTGAGCTGGGAACACTCTCCACCAGGTAATCACACCTGCAATTAATAACACAGATATATTTAGAAAAGTAATAGGCTGAGCTGACAGAGGAACTTTCTCATTCCATCAGTGCTGAGATATCACTTGCAATAGTAACGATTACTATTAAAATACTTGTCTGGGTCTTCTCAGTAGCTGTTGTCATTAAAAAAAAGAAAATAAACTTAGGGACATGCTGATGACTCCGTTTACTAACAAGGATCGAATTTTCCAGAATGCTGCAGCATACAGGATGGTTGGCCATTACAGAGCGCCTTGTCTCCCTTGTGTGGAGACAAAGAGCCCCTTGGTTAAAAAGTTAGCTACCTGCACACATGATGACTGCACTTTAGTGCAGTCTCCATGCTGCTGAGCACCCACAACTCCTTTCTGTCCCCAGCACTCCCAGAAGAAAGGCCACCCATCGTGAGGTGCAGAAATCTAACTGGATGCTCCAGGCTGGGCTTTAGATCCAAGTTTGCAAAAGGCTGGCTTTAAATTTCCCCCAGAGATATTCCTTCTATGAAATTTATCCCAGTGAAAATAAGGTTGTGTTTGCAAAAGGTTCTGGTGCTTGCAGCACAAAATCACCATGTCGAATTTTTATGGGAAATCAAGCATTGGTCAACTTTATATTAAGAGACACCTAGATTCATATTTAAAGGAATAATGCTAAAATGACAGAATAGCTCTCCTTAGATAATTTCACCTTCTGAAGATTGTATGCAAGTATATTTTAAAAATTACTGCACCTTCTTTCACTTCAGGATTTTCTACAAATCTTTCTCCATGCCCTTTGCTCTAGAGAATACCTCTAATGCTTCGCATTTACTCACAGTTAAATTGTCTTGCCTTTCTGTGTCCTTCTGTGTGTCTGAATGGAAGCTGTCTATGAACGTCTTGTCTCCTTCTTTAATAGGTAGTGGAGTAAAGACTAAGTCATGAGACTGCATTTAAAGGGATAGTCAGTGATCAGAGTCTCTGTCGGCGATGTCTGTACCACTCTGTCCAAATTCCTGTAGGCTACAAGCTCTATGGAGAGCCAGGCAAAGCAGCATGCCACTGACCAGCAAATCCAAGGCAAGGAACAAAAAGGTACACATGGAGATAGAGTCAGCAACTTCCTTGCAAGCCCTGCTGGAGCCTCATGAGACTTGTGACCTGCTGGTACCGAGCAAGGCATCTCCTATCTCTCTTCCCACCCCCCTCCTTCTTTTGTATGAATTCCATTGATTCCTCTGCCACAAAGGGGAAGAGAAAGGGCTCTCTGTGTACCAGGCACACTTTTTTTACCCCCACTTTGAAAACTTATTCAGAAATCCCATGCAATTAAAATGTCTTTATTTCCCTTTTTTTTAATTAATGCCATCCCAAATAGCTAGATTTTCTTTTACTCTTTAGTTTCCAGAAGGAAAGAAACAACAACATGGTGCACTTGAAGGAGATTGAATAAGGAAGGGGTTGCTTTGAATAGAACAGAAGCAGAAGAGCTATGGTTGTGACTGCTTTAAGAGCAGTTGTAGCTGCTCATGTGATGGGGTCAAAAATCCTCCCCATCACGTTCACAGGTTCAGCCTCACAGCTTTACAATGCCAGTTAAAGCAAGCAAGATTTGGGCTTAAAAAATAATGTAAAACTGCAGCTTATTGATCTTCACAGAGTTTGACACTATATATATATATATATATATACTTAGCTATTTCACAACATACATTCCTGTTGGAAGAAGACATTGGGAAAAAGTTCATTGCAATCAAGCAATAATTTAGGTGCTACTGTTTCATCCTTAGCAGGTAAGGAACAGCCACACAGAATAGATGCAGATACTGGGGCCTGTTTCAGGATCCTGGGCTTTAGACTGCATTCCTGCTAGGACCGATGAAGGGGAAAAGCTTGGTCAGTCATAGTCTAGTACAACAGGCAGGGATGTTGATTTTGCTAGAGATTTCAATAAAGTATCCTCATGCTGAAAATAACATTTGAGCTTAAGGGTTTGGCTGAATGAGGACCTCTGCTGAAGTTATCATTAACAGTGTCCACTGGACTGGAGTTGTATTCAGAGGGAATGAAATAGAGGCCATCGAGTGATTTCTCGAAGGGCTCAGAGCTGTCAACAGATAAATTAACCGCGGTCACTGGTGAGGACTATGCATGTGGATTTGATGTGATGTTGTGCTGGTTTAAAAGTTAACCAGCAAGGCAAAATGAACTCAATTCAAAAGAGAGATTTATAAGTCAGAATAACAATTTATTAAAATAATGCAATAAGTACAATTATACAGACAGACAATTGGTTTTAACCCACAAAACCCAAATGTACAAACCCAGGACCCTGGGGTATGAACAAAAGTGGTGTACCTTGGCCCACCCCCCCCCGAGTCCAAAGCAAAGGGAGACGGGATAAACCTGCTGGTGGGAGAGCTGCTGCAGTCTGGTCAGAAGTGGTGATTGCAGTCCAGTTGAGGGTGGTGGTCTCAGCCTGGTTGGGAGCAGCGGTGGTCTGCTGTCTTCCTCTGGGTCCCACGAGAGAGAGAGAGTCCCAAGGCTCTGAAACTCCCAGTTATATACTCTCCAGTTCAGGCGGGAGTGCTCAGTCCCTCCCTCAGAGTGGGGAATTCCATAAAAGGGCATGTGGATGCTCAGTCCCTCTTATCAGAGCGGGGAATTCCATATAAGGATATCAGAGCGGGGAATTCCATAAAAGGGTACAGGAACATCTTCCCACCTTGCAGGCCTCTACTGACAGCAGTTTTTGGGAAATGGCATGGAGGCTATAGAATACACAGTTTTGGGTTACACCCATCCAGGGATGAATTGGTCCCAGCTGTTCTAACCAGGACAGATGTTCTCAGAGGCTCCAAACCTGATAAGACATTTCCTCTGTGCCCTGGTTGATACTATCCTGTGGATTTATTAAGATTTAAAAGAAAGATAAGGAGTCCCTGAAGGTCTTAGGCATTGCTGTCAAAAATTAACATTTAATTGCCACTTTGCAAAAATGTTACTGTCGCATTTGTAAAATGTATTTATGGAGGATGTTATTGAAAACTGCATCTGGTATAAATGTTGTGTAGAGCAGCATAGTTTCAGTGGGAAAGGGCAATATGTGTTCTGCGTCTTGTCTCATCACAGAGGGGACTTAGAAATTTGGGAGTTTGTTTCAAATCCTCCCTCTCTGCACCTACGTTAGGAAAGGAAAGATGTGGAGGAACCTTAGCAGCAAAAACAGTGTTTGCAGACAAGGAGGGAGGACTTAATAAAACTAAAACTGGATCAACACTGTTCAAAGCAGCCATGGGAAATAAGAAATGTGCTTTACATATAATAAATAGAAAAATCCTTTGGTGAATGATGAGAATGATAGAAGGCAGTGGAGTAAGAAAGAAGTAAGAGTCAGTGAAACTACTGTGGCTAAAAAATAAGTGATAAAATACTGGGGGATGGTTGTGAATATTTATCATAATCAAGGTCAGAAACAAAAATTCTTACACTTGTTCAGTTTTAAGTTTTCTTCCCCAAACTGGGATCCAAGGTTGACAACTGGGAGTCTGAGGAGAAGCTGGTGCCACATGAGGGTGAGTCTGAAAACTGAGTTTGCCAAGTGAGTCCATGGAGCCAGGAACTGAGCTGTCCAAATGAGCGTAGTCTGGGGGGGACTGCAAATCAAATAGGCTAATTACAGAAATAGAGGTGTCCTGCACCTACTGATGTATTAGAGTTGTGCTACTTTTGAGAAAGGGAGTTTCTGGCTCTTTCTTAAGGATTTCAGCATTTTTTTTTTAGAGTCTTCATACATGCCTGTGTCCTAGTTTAGGCATCACATCCTTCTTTGGTCTTAATCCAGCTATGCATCACAAGGTATTGAGGAACGTATTGATACATTTTCTGGAAATCATTTTATTTTCAAGATGCTGAAAATGCATTTAAAAAGGCATGCAATTGACTGATCCCTAAGATAACTCTTCAAAGTTAGAAAGGGGCAGAGGTAGCAGCTGTATTTTGAGAAATGCTTTTTCACATTGAGATAACTTAGACTGCCTGTGAAGCAAGTCAGAAAAGGCACAAGCTGAGGATTTATGGAGAAAACACAGCACAGGGGGGTGTGTGTAGGAACCTGGATCATGGAGTGCTGTGTCTCTGTGGAGGTCCTCTGAGCATCTACAGGTACAGCTCTGAAAACTGCAGGGGGATCCCAACCTCTCCATTCCCTCACTGAGCAGAAAAACCACCACTCTTTGAGAAGGAAAACAGCAAAGAGCTTCCTGATGTGTGAACAGCCCCCAAACAGGGAGCAAACTAGTGGAAAGCACTGGAGACAAGCCATAAGTGGTGACTGTTTTCACCAGTGGATTAGATCCTGTGTCTGCAGTGTGCCAGTGCTGTTACTGTATGGGCCCTTGAGGTCCTCCTGTGTGACCATGGTAGTGGGCAAGGTGACAGACTGCTGAAGCACCCACAGCTGCTCAGCTGACAGATGCCTTCATAGGTGGGTCTATAACATCTGGTCCAAAAATAGGCAGAAATAGAAAAAGATGAGGAAAAAAGAAACAGTCAGAGGCACCTGTTCTTCAGAACTTCATCTTCAAGGTCTTCATGGTTCAGCTTCTACTCTAAGGTATAGGACTGTGAAAGGCAAATTTGGGTCCTGGAGCAGATGGGGAGCTCCTGGAGGACTGTGGGCTGTGGAAAACAGACTCAGGTTTGAGCCTCCATGGCATCAGGGAGGAAGCTGAGGAACTTGTTCAGCCCTGGTAGCACTAGCAGTCACAGGATTCAAATGAGAAACCAGAGGGAAAGGCACAGCCTGCATGGGCACTAGGGACAGAGAGAGATTTCTTTGGAAACCTTTCCCCACAACCAATTGTTTCTCATGGGAGACTGGAGTTTTCTCTGATTTATTAATCTGTGTTCTAAGAAAACCAAGCCCTAGTTTGGTGTGGCTACTGAGAGGAACGAGGGAGCAGTTCAGCTTTTGGGCTCTGGCCAGTTTGAGCTTCTACGGCATGGACTTTACACAGTGATCTAGAGCAGAATTTGGCCCAGGGAAAGGCTGGAAGATAAAAGATGAGAGAACCAGTTGGGAAGCAGGTTTTCCTCTTCAGAACCCTCTTGTTTGCTTTTCTGTGTCAGGTCAGTCTCCCATAATCATAGAATCATAGAATCAGCTGGGTTGGAAAAGACCTCTGAGATCATCAAGTTCAACCCTTGATAGTCTTCCTTCCACTCTAGCACAACCTATTATCAGTAGGATTACTGTACACTTACCCCTTCATAAATGATAACAGAATTTAACCTTCTATCTGCATCTATTTTTTGTGTGCTTGCTCTCTTTAACATATAGAATAACCCTGGGGAAATTAAATAGAATCCAAACCAGCTTCCTCCCTGCTTATATCTCTCCTCCAGGAGAGAGCCTGCATTGCAAGACACCAGCACATTTGCTCTGTCAGGAAGGTGGTTCTGCTGAATCTGAGGATAAGAAAAATTTGCATCATCATTTTATACAGAGCTTATTCTATGGGGAGGCAGTTGACTGTGGAGCTGCAAAACTGCCCGCTGAGCAAGTTCAAGTGAATTTTCTTACTGCTATATACATGCCATGTAAAAACTAGCCCTGCCTCTGCTTCCCCTGGGGCGGGAGGACAAAATCTGGCTCTTCAAAGGGTGACCACTGTGGAGGGTCACCTTCAAAGAAGAAGTCCATCTGCTCAGTGAGGTGTCATGGTTTGAGCAGATGGGCTTGGTACCAGTGCCTGGCCAGCCAGGACCTGCTAGGGAGGTCATACAGTGCAGAATCCCAGAATGAATCTCCATTCTGCAGGAGACCCCAGACCTTCCCTCATACCCTCCTGCCCAGCTCCATGTGGAAAGAAGTGCTATTAGCAGCAATAGAGGCTTTTTGGCAGCTCCACAGTTGGAAGTAGTCTCCATGCCCATGGTGCAGTCTAAGTTGCTGAGGAGCACGGGCTCAGGC